CAGCATAAATAGAGTTAAGTAAGTCGGGGTAAGTAGGTAGGAAACACCATTGAGGTACTTCACAGAGGCGAAGAAAGGTACAACACATAACCCCTGTAGGGTACTTACCTCTAGCATCAATCATCAGTACCATGTATTACCTACCTACTCGTCCGTCATGTACCACTAGAAGAGGTATGCAAGAAAGTAATGGCGTGACGGTTGATACGCAAGGGAGACAGTGCTAATCTCGTTCGTTCCCATTTTCCATTTATTTTGAGGCTTAGGGGTTAGTCGATGACATAGTTCGCATTGTTCGATATGTGGCTGAAGAAACATAGAACATGGTAAGGTACTCGAAGAATTACTTACCTGTCATCCTCTTATTTTCTTGATCAAAAGAATCTTCTTAGCCACGCCCTTGCGCTCAACGTTGAACGGAACTGGAGTTAAACCCGTCCCGTTGCTGAGGATACCGAAGGTATTCGGCACTAATGCTGCTGTTGCTTACCTCTAGGTCCTGAGTGCTCATGTTCGTTGCTAACAAACCTCGGACGGGAGTAAATGCTGTCAACGAAGCCGCGCTCAACGACGAACGACGAATACAAGGTTGCGCTCAACCAGACAACCTCTGTTCTTGGTCCATACCACATACCTACCTTCCAATATCCAGTAGCTCGGTAAGGGCGCCCTATCGGTAAACCGTAAGAACTAGTCTACCTACAATAGGTAGTCTTCTCGCATCTGCAGATAGAGGTACCTAGAGGTATGCGAAGAACTCATTAGCGATCAGTCCAGTCCGAGCATCCATCGGCTTTCAATCCTCGTTTCGTTACCTCTAGATGCTAGAACTAGGGCCTACCACGGCCTTGATGGCTCCAATGTCACGCTCTCTGCCACGGTGTGTCTCACAACACTGAAAGTCACCATCCGTGCTCCCCAAAAATCCTCATAGCGATTGCTGAATGGATAGACTTTCTAAAAAAAAGGACATTGTCTTGCCCCTTGTCTTAGGTACTGTAGGTTAACACCTGGGATTCGTTGGTATGTATGGGGAGGCTTGTCACTTTGTCTTTCAAAATTGTGACATATCACCTTGTTAAGGCCTGCGCACGTTTTGGTGCGACATTCGATCCCTGCCCTCCACATAATTGAATGTATTAACCGATAGTGACATGGAGATGGGATCTGATGTAATCCCACTCAACCTTCCACATGGGCACTTCCACTTCTACCACTCTGTAACAAAAAGTAGGTATGTGTCTCGTGCCAAGCGGGAATAACCACCTACCTAAATGTAGTAAGCCAGTCAATCAGGTACCAGTAAGCCAATCAGGTACCAGTAAGCCAATCAGGTACCAGTAAGACGAAATGACACGGCTATTTGGCGGTGAGCATAACAGAAACATACCTTAGGTAGGTAGCATGTCATCTTTTGAGCAAATTTCGTTGCTTACACTGACTGCCCGGTACCGTCCATCATTGAGGTACCGCGAAGAACCGTGAAGAACCACGCAGGCTGCCACTGCCAGGAACTCAACCATCACGTTGGTAGCCTACCATACACCTCGGATATCGGTTAGGACGCGTGTTTGCAAAGTTACAGTTACACACACGTGACTGATTGTCATGCGAGTCATCGGTGCGCGCCATTGCGAGTTGCGTTTGCACGTTTGCATGTTTAGGTAGGTACCTAGGTAGGTAGGCGAAGCGGCGGCGCTGCTGCATAATTGCTTGGGAAGCGAACTTGAGGCTTGAGTCTTATCTTTAAAGAGTTTGATATAGATTGGACAGCTCGGTTTACATGCACGTCCAAAGGACGTGAAGATCCGAGGCTGTCATCATGGCGTACCATGAAGAAAAGGAACAAGAAGAAGGAAATGAGAAAAGAAAAAAAGAAAAAAAGAAAGAAAAAAGAAAAAAAAAGATAAAGAAGTAAATACAAGAAGCGAAATACCGAACGGTAAGGTAGATAGCCATAACGCACACAGGGTACACACCTAGACCTAGGTCCCAAACCATGTTCCTTCCTCCCTCCCATTGTCAAGATCGTGTGGAACAGCCAAGCGACGTCTCTTCAAGAGATGGTCTCCTTTCACGGATGGATGATATGTGGCATGAAGTGGTTATCAAGCCGTCAACCATCCATTGTTGCATGTCCGCCTATCGTCATCCCTCAGCTTCGCATGCTTGGGTGCGGTGATTGAATGAATGTCACTCGCAATTGTTGTGTTGCTTGCTTGCTAAGTTCTGGGTGATAGGTGTAGGACCGATGAATGCCACGCCACTGTGCAAGTTGATGTTGTTTTGAGTTTTTTGTTGTTGTATTCTGAAAGAAAACTGCATGAGTCCATTGACTCAACAGAAAAACCACATCCAGTGGTCTGTCGAAAGAGATGTGCGGTAAGAGAACTGGTGCGGAAAATCGTTAGCGACTTGAACACTCAGTGTCATATGCAGTGAACACTCACTAATAACACAACCAGTGAAGGGAAATCCACCACAGACACCCCCTCAGAAATTCACATATTTGAACGTCTCCGCGCACTCCTTGCATAAGCCGTAGCAGATGACGGTAAAGACTTTGCTCTTCTTGGAATCGAACTGGCATTCTCCATACGTATGCCTTGTATAAATGGCGCACGAGTAGGCCATCCGTTTGGTCTCTGTGTGCTTGCAATCCTCGTACTTGGTCTGCTCCCAGTTGCACATCGTGACGGTCGACTTGTTATTGTATGAGAGAGTTGGTATGGGATGAGTGGTAACCAGAAGGCTCTGCAGTTGAGGTTAACAGGAGTGAAGATGTCGAAGTCTTGCCGGGTGACTCTTTCGCCGATGACTAGATCAAGGTGGTTGGTGTCTAAGGTTGATATGTTCGAGTGAAGCGGTTGCTGCTCTTGTCGACTGACTGACTGACTGTTGACTGAAGCTTGAGAGACCGTCGAAGACAGATGCTGATCTGAATGCCTTCCATCCAAAATCTCCTTGACCGGCATCACGAAGCCTCTTTATAAGTCACCCTTCCACACCATGTCAACGGCCGCCAGTGTGCCAATGTCATGGGCCCAATCCGCCTCACAGACCGTCTTGACCAGAGACCCAGCAGTCGACAAGGTCAACATCAGGCTGAGTAATCAAATGTGACGACATTGGAGTCCTGCTCAAGGGACCGATAACATGTGCCACCAGCCGATGCCCTGATGACAGTCCATGAACCCAGCATGTTTTCCATAACGACACCCAGGTGCCCCTCAGTGGCCTCAAGAAAAAAAAAACCCTCAAACCAGACTCTCGGGTCGAGCTGAGAGTGGTGTTGTGTGCAATATCTCCATCTCCCTTGCCCGGCCGTGAACATTTTGCAGGAACATCGCCTTGCGGCAGTGGGGTCCGGGGCCCTCAACGGGCTCCCATTTCCGGGCCGCGGTTTCGGGCCCGGTGTGGATCCTTCTCCATTCAGCCGCTAGGGGGCCGGGGTTAGGGGGCCGTTTGAGAGGTCAACTTCCGGATTCGAGATGCGGACATGGAGGTCAAAGAGGCGAAGCAGCAAAGTAGAAAGAGCCCATGCCATCTTGACAAGTAAACGGCCCATTGGCGAATCAACGAAGAGCAGCGAGGCACACTTGGCTCGAAACTCGCCCTTCCACCCGAGAAATTGAAAGTGTTGTTGGACGATGGCGGATGCCGTTAAGCGCCGGCGACCTCGAGCCCCATTGGCCAGCACATGCGCGACCTGAGAATCCGCCGACATTTTAGTGCTTGTTAGTGACTGCCAGGCCTGTGTTATAGGCCCCTTTCTCCAATCTGTATCCCGATCGACAACTGCTCGCAAACAACGTCAAATGCACAAAAGGGGCACACGCAAAAAAAAATTTCAGGAAAGAGGTGAATCCTACCAAGATAAACAACATCATCTGGGCTCGGAAGGACCCGACTAGATCAGATCTAATGCAGAGCTTTATTATTCCTTCCAGTTCCAACAGCAACAGCAGGGTGATAACGGATCGACTTACCCTTTTAGTTCGACTTGACAGTAGCCCTCGACTGTGATGGCCCCAGCATGATGGATCATGATGCAAGTGTCGAGCTTTTCGCGGTGTCGACTTTAGCAACCAACAAGTCAATGCATTGTCAAAATTTGCATCACGAGATGCCAACAGTTGGAGAAAAGCATGAAATATGGCTCAAATATCACAGCGGGGTAAAATCTCTTACCTGACCAACACCATAGTGCAACTGTCGAGACAGATACCGTACCTCAACGATGTTGCCTGATCATTGTCGGTATCCGAAAGCCTGCACTTACATCTGAGTCAAGACAGGACAAGACATACAGTTGGTGATCGGACTTACTTCAACCCACTATGATGCGGCATCCAAATGGAGATTTGGCACTGTTTGACATTCCAATCCTTCGGGTGGCTGTGCAGTTGGTACGAATCTATGTTTATGCCGACTGTTAGCTTTTTGCTTCTTTTGTGAGACGACACCGCATCTGAGGACACTAGCAACATGCGGCTGAAAAAAATAATGTGATTTTTCACGACACATGTTCCAACGACATACTTTTTCTGCGCGGTATTGGTATTGTTGAAGTTGGGGGTAAACAAACTTCGGGTATCACATCACGAGATGGCATTGATCTCTGGCCCTGCTTTCATGCCTGTGTCTCTGATCGTGAACCAGAAACCATCAGTAAGCCACTTGCAGCATTGAGAACGTACCCACGCAACTGTCTGGTTGCAATATTAGCATATTTTGCCGGGTAATTCCAGGGTCGACGGACGGAGCGTACATCGTCACTGAGGGGACTTACCCATATGCGAGCGGGGTCGCCAATGCCAGGAACAATATGGGTATTGCCGTCGATAGATGAACCGCTCGCGGCATTTGGCTCGGAGTTCATATCCTCTGCTTTGAGAGACAATTATTACCTGTATGCGTCCAGATGAACTTGATCATTGATGCACTTCTTGCGTCCTTACCATTGAGAACAAGATTCTTTGTGCCAGTAATTCCGCATCATGGCTCGTCTCACCTTAGCAGCCCTGGGCCTCCTAGCCGTCATACAGTCCTCATTTGCCCAGCGAGGAGCAGGAAACTGTCAATGGGCCGCCCTTCGAATGCAAACCGACATCTACATCGAATCCCAAACCTATGGAGAAGTCGACCCAATGCTCGTTTCAAACTCGCCTCTGTACCGCGAGAACTACAAGCAGCGCGACATAAACACCTCATTTCTCACCACTCCGCTCAAGATCGACTACACTCGCACTTTCGTCGACCAACGAGAATGCAAGACGTACTCACAACTGATTGTCACGGATCCCAAGAACCCGTACATCATCGGCACCCAGATCACATACGACAACATTGGTAGCGCGGGCCTCAAGGCCAAAATCATAGACGTTGTTATCTCACGTCCTTCGACCGAGCCGCAATTCAATGCCACAAAGACGCTCGCATATGTTGATGCAGAGGATTGGTCCGCAATTGTTGCGGCAAAGCAAGACAGCCGGGACTTGCTCAAGATCGTGGCCAACTCGTACCTCGACCTGTGGAGCGGCAACGACAACTATGAACTGCCCTGGGGCACACCGTGCGCCCGGCTGGAGGGAAGCGAGTACTACACCGAGGAGTGTCAACCCGTGAGCTTGAATGGCAAGGCAAATACGGACAGGATGTATGTGATTGACGAGGGTTTGGGGGCTGTGAGCGTGTTTAGCAAGGGCGGAAGTGACGGAGCACTGCTAGACATCCACGAGTTCAGGCTTGTTCAAGGGAAGCTGCGCTATGTCCATCACTTCACCGCGAGCGATGCGGTGTTGGTGGTGTAACGAGAACGAGAATGATACACGATGAACGTCTTGGGGGAGTAGGAGAGACGCACAGCAGGATGCGAGATACAAAGGGATTGGAGTCAATGGCTACCCCTGAGAGCAAAGTACCGTTGAAGTCCGCCTTGGAGTGCAATACAACCCGGTGCAAAGTAGCAAGCCAGTGGCACAGCAACATGAAACTTGAATGTTGAATAACACCGCAGCCAGCCAATCACTTGTTCGACCTTGACGTTTCTTCCATAGCAAGACGTGACAGTCCATTTGCACCATCTTGATACCTCCCCAGTAGCAGGGCGTATGGATGAAACCTTGAACTTATGAAGGTTTGGAGTGTAACACAATGTGACAACTCCAACATCTTCCGTTGGCTGGTTTGCGAAGAGATAGCCAACAGGCAACCTGTCAACGTTGTCAGACCACCCGAAGTGTGACCTTCAACGGGAGGCGGCTTGGTAGTACGAACCTAGATGTTGGGATTAAGAGCGTGTTAGACGTACTTGGACTTCTTGTCACTCGACTTTCTTTGCCTTGCTGCCTCCGTCGACATGCACCCACACAATTGGTAGCCGAGGAAAACACGCCCATAGCGTTGGATGGGCACGGCAAGAGGGAAGTAAGTGGCAGGTTACGAGTAACCGAACTGCCTTTTCCCCGGCAAGGCTTTGTCAGACTCTGGGCGCATAATCTACAGCACTTTCCCGTCAGTGTGCAGAAAAGGCTCCTTGTAAGACTTGATAAAGCCTCACATAAACAAGGCATGGGTAATGGCAGACGGATGTTAGCACCTTTGTGACACTCGTTCCATATTGCAGTCGCCTTGAGAGCCATCACCTCAGGCGCAATGAGAGACTTGCCCCCAATCAAGAGCCGATATCACAATACAGGCACGCTTGCCCCCTAGGGTGATACATAGCAGCCAGTTCACCAAGGGCGTTTCAGATTCCCTTATCTGCCCTGCCGGACGTCGTTAGCTTTTTCCATGTCCCTCTAAAGGATCAAGAAAAGCGGTGACCAACGAATGCTTGACCATTGTCTCGGGCGCTTGGGGCCGATATTTGTGCCCATGTTTGGCATGCGGATATCGCCTGATGATTGCGGCGCCGGACGGCTGCTGTGCCTCGAAGGACTTGTAACAGAGTAGTTGATTCGGACCGTTGAGCCGTGAACAAGCAAACATCAACTGCAAGTGGACATCGTAGAAGCTCGAACTTGTTTCGTAATGGATATCGGTATTAGTAGGGCAATGCTGTTTGACGATAGGTCGTTGTACGGTTGTCGGAGGCCGAAGGTCGGAGCCCTAGAGCGAGGCACCTCAGGCTAACAGTAACACCAAGGACCCGGTGAGCCCGTGAGGGACACGGGAAGCGACGATCAACGGGCCTGGAGCACAATCAGTGAAATGAATTGGGCAAACTGGGGAAGTTTCTCTCGAGCGTCTGCCAAAATGGAAAGGCAGCCTTGTGGATCATGGACGTTGATTGGTGGAGGAAAAAGATGGTAGCGTGTTGCGCTCCGCCGCAGGCCCGTTATGGCGACCCGACCATCGCGTCGGGTCTTGGACGCCGCAGGCCTCGAGAGGCCACTCTTGATGGCCTCTTTTGGGAGAGACCGAACCATAGTCGTGATTAGGTGGAACATGATCGCAACGAATGCAGTTGGCGACACTGATTTGGCAACTGTTGGACAACGTTCGGTGGTCAGTGATGTTAACGTGGGACGCCAGGGTTTTTACAGGGGGGGGGTTCGTACCATGTTCAACAGTCATTTGTCCCTTAACGATTCTTCTTCAACATCATGACGTCGTAGATCTAAGGAAGAAACATGCTGTAGATGAAAGCGAAGAGGGCCGACAGTTGGATTGTTGGTATGATGGCGTCTCCGGCATGGTGCATCATGAAGCAGAGAAGTGAAGCGAGGTGGATTTTGCAAGGGCGCAATTGGAGGTGTTGCGAAATTAGCTGGCAACTGACTTCGCACGGGCAAAGGGGGGATTAGGGTAGAGAATAGTTTGAGAAGGGAATTTGAAGTTCCTGCGCAGTAGGGCAATCACATTATCGATTTTCTTGTCTGGTTTGGAAAGGAAAGAACGATGTCGTCGTGGGGGACTGGCTTACCCCGCCCCGTCAGCACTCGTTGTTGGGAGAAAGAACGACCAGCGCCCATTGAAGCCGGGGCATTCGTCAAATGGCAGAGGTTCGCGCAGCGGGTTAGGGTTTAACTTTGCACTTCCACTTCTGTCCCATTTTGCCATACATAACACTGACGGAAAAAATGCACATGAAGATGGAAATATGCGCTTGAGAACTGAAGAAGAAACGATGTCCGAGAGAACTTTGGATGTTGGGTTGGTGGCCGAAGAGGCCGCATGCTGCGAACGCAGCGCCCCGGGCCCGTTACGGAGACCCGGCCTCGAGCCGGCCACACTATCGCAACGTGCACGCCAGACCCATTTCGGGAGTACGGTATAGCCACTACCAGGCCGCATGAACTTTGACCTAAATAATTCGAGATATTTTGACAAAAATGGTATATTGCGTCACTTCGTCATGGCTGAGCGACGCAAGACTTGCCTGCCCTAAATATCAGCCCGGACGGCGACCGGGACTCTCGTCCGAATGGCTCTACAATCGGCGCTTCTGGATCCACTTATTCCCGGACCCCGGCCGGGAGATCCATATAATCCATCCGGATCATCCCCTCCGACCTCCCTTTCTACCCAATCCACGCATTTCTTTCTTAAAATCGTCACCAAAGAAGACAGAAAAGCCTTACAACGCTTTCTCGTAGAAGACTCTGACAAGAATGAAAAATGGTCGATAATCAAGTTACCAAGCATCCAATGTTTACGGACTAGCCACAGATCGGACGGGTGAAAGTCAGAGAGAGTCGGGAATGAGGACCTACTTTCAATAAAGAACGGAAAATTGCGAGGGAACGGGGACAGAAACGGAAACGGCGGGAAGAAGTGAAAGGGAGTGTTTCGTGGGTCTACGATTTTGAGTTTGACCTTGGTTTGGAACATGAGGAAGGAGGGAGGGGAGGGGAGGGGGGAGGGGGGAGAAGGGGGAGCGTAAAGGCATTCGGATCGGGTGGTCCGATTGATGCGTGCCTTGCATTTGAAGAGGCGACGAATTTCTCTTGACGTACATCTGTCTTCTTTGTCTTCTTTTTTTTTTTCAATTCTTTTTTCCTTTTTTTTTTTAAAAAAAAAAAGTTGCCTCTTGTTTTCTATCTAGATACCGCTGATAGTTCCCAGCATTTATTCAGAATATGTTCACCAACACAGAACCTGGTGGGTGAACATGCCCTTTTAACTGATGTCAGTTTTCGAAGCGACTTGGAGCGAAGTGATCAGTTGAGGATAGGCCTAGCGCCCAGATTGTCCACAAAACCAAGGCTTTCGTCGTAAGTCAAACGGTATTAATCTCAAAACTTTGTAAATTTGCTGCCGTGTATGCTATCGTATATGCTATCGTGTATGCTATCGTATATGCTATCGTGTATGCTATCGTGTATGCTATCGTGTATGCTATCTGTCTATGCTATTGTTTACGCTGCTGTTATCTCTGCGCTGTATTCCCTCGTTGCAAGATTTCCCATATCCTAACGCTCATAACACGACCGTATGTCATGTCGCTGGATTTCTCATCCGGTTTACCTACCCTTTGTTTCCCTCTAAAAAGCAAAACTCTCACACGTTGTATCCAAAGCAGATTCCTTTCCACCAACCTTGTAACCTTGACTTTGAGCGGTTCGGCCCAGTCTTATGTATCCTCCACACTCTTACCCTTACCCTTCAAATCCACATCTCCCGCATCCTCACCTCCCACCTGCACTCCCACCTCCCCCTTAGCACCATCCGCATCTAACCAATTCCAGTAAACGCTCACCCGAGCCATCCCCCAGCCTCGCATACAACGTAGCCTTCACCGCACTCTCCTCCCCCTCCCCATCATTTATCATCACAAGCGTCAACCTGCAAAGCCCCTTTTTCTTCTGATACTGTTTCGCCAGCTCGATTAACTTCTTGAGTAGCGCCACCACTTTCCTGAGCTGTCTTTGGTTTTCCTCCGCTTCTCCTCATTGCTTGATATCTTCCGTCTTGTCCTGCACGGGGTTCCTGCTGCTGCTGCCATTGCCCCTGCTGACGTTGCTGGGAGAAAAACTCCCTTGTCGTTCTTGGCAACGTACAACTTGTTGACTTGCGAGAAATACAGCTGAGCTTCGACGTTGAAGAGCGGTGTGTAGTTGACCTTGTGGGTCTTGACTTCCACGAGGCAGGAGGCGGGGATGTTGCGGCCGCGACGGAAGACATGGAGGGTTGGGGACGAGGTGGTAGAGGAGATCAGGCGTACGGCGGAAGCTGCGAGGACTCCGGAGACTGGAGGTTCCGGTTCCTTTGTAGTTGGGGGACAGCGGGGTGGAGTAGGCGAGGTGAGGGGGGAGGTTTCTCTCGTCGAGTCGCGGGGCAGTCGACGGAGGTGATGCTAAAGACAGAAGAGTCAACAATGAGGATGCTGGTCTGCCCAGAAGTGCCGGCGGAGACCGCACTGTCGCGTCGTCGATTTGGACCACTTCGTCGATAGTCAGTGCTGACATGGTCTCTGGTAAAGCGGGATCAATGTTGCCTGCCCCTGGGCAATGGCAGTCACAGTGGTATGCGTCCACCTCCGACTGAACGACCAACTGCAGGCCACCAAAGCGATACTGTGTCACCCGATGGTGACTTGTGCTGCTCTTGAGCACTTCGTCTTCATGGTCGTCGTAGATGCACGTTGCTTGCTCGAAGCCGCTGCCGTGGCCCAAACTGGTGTTCAGACGTGGATCCGACGTCCACTTTGATAGAAAGAGTGTGTTATGTCTCTAGGTGAGATCATAGCGCTCGTGTTCTAGTTGTTGATTTGGAAGAGCATAAACATCTTGCGTAGGTTACTGGCGTTGGTGACGATGTCTGCTTTGATCAAGGCATATTTGGGATCGGCCACTTCGCTAGATCGAATGAGCGGCTCGAAGTGATGAGTGTACGTCGAGTAGTTCCCTGTCAGGGACTTATTGAGTTGATCAAGCTTGAGATTGAGCCGCTGGGTCAAAGGATGGAGGCGCGGAGGAACACCTAGAGGAGGGACAGAACCGCAAAGTTAGCAAAGACGCTTTCTCCTTTCACTCCCAGAACACAAAGACACTCCGAAGTTTGCACATACCTGGTACCGCTATCTGGTTGTTGCCAATCTTGTTGAAGCTGGAGATGGCACGCACATCTTTAATCTCGACAGGTGCATCCTCTCCCATGTCTAGGTCCTGCAACTTGAACCACTCCAAAAGCTTTAAATCCTTTCGGATCAAGTCATGCCGCTTGACGGTCGTCTCATTGTATGAGAGATTGCGTTGGACGTGCCATGCGGGATGGTAATAGAGGCAATTGCCCCTCGAAAGGTGCTCGCACTTCTCTCCCTTCCTCCAGTCCTTCTTTCCCATATCATTCTTCCAGTTTTCGACCTGGGATGAATCATGGTCATGGCCACAAGTCATACCTCTTGGGCAGGGCTTGTCGTTGACAAGCCATCCGCAAGGATACGCGGAGCTAGCGTTGTCCCGCATTATGACGCGTATGTATTGCCGCTCTTGGTTTGAAATAAGTTAGCTGTTTGGAAAACAGTAGGGTCCTGAAGGGGATAGTGGTCTTCGAAGAGATTTGGCCAGATCATGTTATATATAAGGGCAAGTAAGGTGTCCGTCTGGATGCTCCAACCCCTTTGGTTTTTTTTCGCTCGTCAGGCTTCGCTGTCGAGAGACCACTCGGAAGGATAATCACCGAAATCAGGACTACAGGTTCAAGCTGTAAGGCTTCGTTGGATACTGTTGCTGTAATGATGTCGGAGGCACACGGCCGTCGAGTTCAAAGGTGTAAGAGATGTTCGCTCGTGGAAGAAGACCAATTACTCGCTGCCTCGGCTGCAGACTAGCAGTATAGGATTGTACGCTCAGTCGATAGTTCGGGTTGATTGGTTGCAGGCTTGCCAACTAACTCCCGCGAGAGGCCCAACGACGAGAATCTGGGGTGTGTCGAGTGTCCGATGATTGGGAAGCATACAATCTCCCGAATCTAAGGATCAACGTTAGGTTGCTTGTTTCTCAGACAAGGCGGACTTAGGAATGGGTTGACTGCCTACCAAAGACGAACCAGTTGTGCTCGTTAGGTCTGCCTTGTGTTAGGGATCGATGCAAGTCTGCCTGTGCTGCCTCAGGGACGGTTGACCGTGGCCGAGTGAGAAAAATAGAATGGTGAAGAGAAAAAGCAAAATCGGTGAAATGGTCGAGAGGTGGAAGGAATATATACCAAGAGAGGGAAAGAGGGGATGAACCTTTTTTCAAAAATAAAATAACAATAAATGCAGGAAGTATCCGCACATTATCAACAGGCATGTAGAAACCCAGAGAGTATCCGGACGTAGTCAACGTGCATATAAAAGAAATCCCGAAAATATCCAGGAATATTCAACGTGCATATATGTAGCACGGCCAACTGGCCTGCAGGGCATGCCTTCCACCTGGCTGTACCTTGCGTTCCACAGAGCCGCAGGAAGAAAGCCATTGCCAGTCAAAAACAGTGTGTGAATAATGGGTGGGTTGGTTGTTCGGCAGCTGGGAAGGGGAGCAATATCATGCTTCGCTCGGGATCGACAAACGTGAACTCCAGAGCACGATGTTGACGGGAAATTTACAAGACCCCAACGAGCTCGTCGGGCTGTAAACAGACATGGAACTGCCAAATACCTACCTGGGGGAGGAACGAAAGGAATGAGAGTAATGAGAGGAACGAGAATAGGCTCGGTGTCAACAGCGATGCCATGGTCTTGGTGGTCTGGACCGACTGCAGTCTATGTTACTTTGTCCTAAACGAGGGCGTGTATGTTCGGGGTCCCCCAATATTTTCTGTGGCTGGTCTCGCCTTCTGTCCATAGAAGACCACTTTTCGACGACTTGCTCAATCTCTGGGATTGTTCCTGCTTCTTGTGGTGAACTGAGCAGGTATGAGCGGGGTGCATTCGTCATCGTCAAGTAGCAGGGGAAAGGTGGCCGTACTGCGTGACCAGAGTTACAAGGCGGGCGGAAATCTGCATATTCCATTGGCTGACTGATCCATCGGTACTCCGATACCTGAACCGGTGTATCAAGCAGAGAGCTATGGCTTCAATGCTATTTATCATAAAGACTGTTGGAAGAAATTGCTGTTGCTCGAGTTTTCTCATGGGCTACTGGCACTGATCAGATCTCGTCCCGGAATACTGGATGAAGCAGGCAAAAATGGGTCAATGAAACAGAGAAAATGTACTATGAGACAACCATGCTTAGCAATAGATGCCTCCCATTTAGAGCCATTGCAATCGCAATGCGTCGGATGAAGCACATGCTTTTCCCTCCCGATTCAATTGCTCACGGTAAAGTATAGTAGGACGAGATCAGTACCAAACAAAAACCCAAAGACGTTACCGACCATCGGCTGTAACACCTTACCGACAAGACAATAGGACCCAAGCGTTTGGTCTGATAGCCAGCCTGTTGGCTTACGCACTTGCCATTGCACGTCACTGATGCTGGGTGGGATATTCAACCACCATGAAAGAGGGCAGGTTTAGTTCGTGACACTCCCTTCACCGAGCGTCAAAGTAACTCGGATGACACTAGACGGCCCATTCACCAACAGTGACTCAGGTAGTCAGGCCCGGTGAATGTTCAACTCGAAAATGGCCGACTCAGTTGCTCAAATACTGAACGCAGTTCGCCATAGAGCAACTGAAACAGTCGTTCTTCCATCAACCGTTCAATCAACTTGAACAAGACAAAGAAACTGCGCAAGCGCGAGAAACAAGCAGAAGCAAAGAAGAAGAAGAAATGGAATTTCAGGAAGCAATCACCGGTCTAATGACCACATGCACCGGGTTGGTTCCAATCCTCGTGCTCGAGGTCCCATCGAACCTCTTCGCCCTCGTCGAGGATATCCCGAGAGTGCTCAGGGAGCTCGAGAGGCCACTGAGGGATCTCCAAGAAATACCTCGGGAGAGAAGGGAGATGGTGGAGGCCCATCACTTGCTTGTCGTGCTGACATACGGCATGTTCGAGCTTTCTCGGCTTGATACCGCACTCCATGCTCTTGGGTACTTTGGCGATCGAGAGCCAGGTACAGAAGAGGAAAAAGACGAAAACATGAGCGTACTCTGGAGTGTCAAAATGACTTTGGCGGAGTTTACCGAATATGTCGGGTATTTCAGAGCCATTCTGGGCAGGTGAGTTGTCCACAATGGGTCCGGTTCCGCTTTATGCTGACACCTTCCAGCGAGTCCCGAGCCGAGCGTGTTTGGAGCAAGAACAAGCTTGAGAGAGAGCTCCAGGCTGTCCTTCGACGCCCCAACCAAGTGTCGAGTCGTCTAAGGACCATCGACCTTTGGATGGAGGACGGGCGACGGTACGGCAACGGCGGTTGGAATAGGGGGGTTTACTGACGTGATGTTAGACCCAAGTTTAGACCCTCCGATTGTGCCTAGCAGAGTGGCTGCCATAAGATCTCAGTTCGACCTGGAATCAGGCTATTCGCCACGCCGTAACAACCTCAATAAACCGCTTGCGAGATCTTCGGACCCAGGGTTCTCATCTCAGACAAGAGATACAGCACGGGTACTGCTCTCTGATATCTCGGGCGTTGAGGACATTACAATTCCCATATACCGGGAGGACCTGAGCAATGAGACAAACTACACGTTCAGTAGCGCACCTCGTAGATCAAGACCAAACTACTTGGACATCGCGGATGCACCGGGAATACGGGAGATTGCTCAATCGTCGCCTTGGCAACCATCATGTTAAGAATGGCCGGTCAAGTAGAATATGGATTCCAGGTGGCAAGTTGAAGGTAGGAGGCAAGCTGATATGCTGGGGTGGAACGTTTCTGGCAGGCATCCCGTGGGAAAGGGAAGCCGTGGTTCGTAAGGTCGTGGGTTGGGAATGAGAAAGAAACAAAGGAATATGGCTGGCGAAGAAAAGGGTGTGACGATACAAGCTTTTGGTAGCAATCAAGACATAGATCTTAGATGGTGAAGTCTTTGCCTTTTGATGGTTGCTGATCAATGTGAATGACTCGATTCTAGTGAACCAGTTAAGCTTGGGAAGAGTGAAAACGCGTAGTCACCCTGAAAGAAATATAATTGTTGACTGCGTCGCGTCTCAGTCCTTGTGCCCATCGAAGTGCACCCGGAACATATCCTCCACATTCTTCTCAAACAGCGCCGACTTCTCGAGCTCGGTAAGGAAGTCGGCATCGACGATGGCCTTTGCAGAAGCCTCATAGGGGAATTGCGAGTACGGGAAGTCCTGATCGACCGAATAGTTAGCATGTGGTCTTCTCGTACAACCATCATCGGGACTGAAGCCTCACACTGCCAAAGACCAACTGCGAACTAGGGACGCCGTAGCCCAGCAGGCCCTTGACTTGAGCAAAGTAAGTCGGGCCCGCACTATCATACCAGACCCTGGAGTTCAAAGCCTGCTTAGCGAGCTTCTCCAACGCCGCGCTCTTCTTCACGAACCGATCCTCAATGGCTGGGAACGCCCCGCCCACATGAGCAATCGACCACCTGACGTTCGTGTACTTGATCAGCGTCTGGCTGAGGACAAGATCCATCAGAGCCCGAGCCGTCTCAAAGTAGAACTCGACAAAGCCTGTAGGATAGGTGGTCGGGTTTGCCACAATGACAGAGGAACCGTTGCCAACGCGCATCAAAGGCTCAGTGGGGTGAACGATACAGACGTGCGGGCCGCCGGGAATAGTGTTGTTGAGGGCCTCGAAGAAGGGTGCCAGAGCGGCGCTACCAAGATAGTAGCCTTCGTGATTGGTGAGCAGGCCAAGACCGAGGGCATCAAGTGACGAGAGGGCGTATTGGGCTTCTTTGAGAGCAGCGGTGTTGTAGGGTAGGGGCATGACAGCGTAGAAGTCGAACCGGTTGGGGTAACTTCGCTTGAGCTCGGCGAGCCACTCGTTCAGCAGACGAGCAAGGCCAACGGAGTATGCTTCATTCCCGTAGAAAACCGTGGCACCAGGGGTTGACATGGAGATAATGCCACGGGTGATGTCTAAGAAGCATTATTAGTCTATGTCACAACTGATATCTTCGCCAAAGGTCACTCACTATTATCTGCCATGAACTGAAGATGGTCCTGGACGCTCCACTCGGGAGTGGGAGAGCCGCCTGTCAAGGGAACCAAGTCATAGTAGAAACTGGGAACCGCATGGGCATGAACGTCAATCCTTGAGGCATTGCGAAAGTCGTAACGAGTCTGAATGTTAGCAGCTTCGTAGATCTCCTCAATGGAGCGGAAGGCGGCTTGGGCGAAGGGAAGTGCTTCCAAGTCGATACCATCTGTCCACCCTGTTAGCAATCATCATCACGAACTCATCAACCTAGTTGAAGAACCCGTTACCTTTCTTGGCCTGCTTGATGATCTTGGCGATCTGTGCACTGGGCTTAGAATGAACCCCGGCGATAGCCTCACCCGCGAGGGCGAGGAGGCAGAGGAGCCTGGAAGCGGTTTTGAGCAACATCTTGTGACGCTTGCAGAAGTAACACCAAAAAAGATCTCTTTCGGATGCCAGAGATGAGGTTTAACATCTCCCATGAGGAAAGTATTATCCGATCAGTTTGACGCATGTTGCTGACTCCGCGACGGTGGACCATCACGAACATTCGATGCGCTGGTTCTCACTCGGTGTTAGTGCTTACGGCTGTTGAGTTAACAGTGGTGAGGATGCTATACACCACCATCTCTGCGAGCGAGACACTTAGTACAACCACACTGAATACCCTCCATGTTATCGTGGTCATACCTGTGACGTATTTCGGAGCCCAGTCCGACGAAGTCTTGGACTATCGACAAATCCAGCACTGGATGACATGGTGTTTGCAGCGATTCCGATCATCACACGCATAATGCAGCCTCAGTGCTACACTGGTACCACCATACACTACAGCAGGCCGGTATCAAGCCTCTCAGCTAAAGCCCCGATGGGTTAGTGCCATCTCCACCAAAGCTTTTGAGACCGACGCCCTAGCAGTAGCGAGCAAGTGTGCCCAGATCATCTCACGATAACGTCGCTTGGAGTTTGTCTTTCAGTTTTCTGTCAGCGGGACTCCCCCTGGTACAACCGCAACCATCTCGTTCAGGTACTTACCGGGCACCAACTTTGAGATGTTCCCTTCGCGCGAGAGTGAATCGCCAAGCCAGGCCTCGGTTCGGCTCCGAGTGCTAGGTCGGACCGGTCGGTGGAATTTCGTAGGATTCATCGACATGTCGAAATGACCCTTCCGAACCGTTGGCACATGCGATTGACATGCCGATAATGTCGCGGTTGTAAAGTTGTATCTGTGTACTGTATCTCGGATATCAGATGCAAATCACCAAAGCGGAGCTTCTGGGGACCGCTGGGGACCGCTGGAGACCATTGGATCCTCCAAATCGACCCCAGAAAGAGCCCTGAAAATTTCGGCGCAGCTTCCCGAAAACGGCTTGGGCTAATATCGTGGGGATCGGCCCGAGTTGCACGGCTAGCTTGAGTTCCGTTTTCCACGAGTTCCGTCATTTCCATGTGGATACAAATTCCAGGCACCCGGTCCTGAGCTTTAGCCGAGCAAGAAGAAGGAAAAAGCAAAGATGAAGAAAAAAACGGATGCCTCGTAGCGGAATATTAATCTCCGGGTCTGACCAAAGAGCCCCAGCGCCGCAACGGTTCGGGAATTGATCTCGTGCACGGGTCCGCGCGAGCGTTGTGCTAACATTTGTGCAAGGTACAAGGGGCAGGTACAAGGACAGGCAGAGGAGAGAAAGCGCAGAAGAAGATCATGATCGTGGTTGATGATAGTGGACCGCATCCGCTAGGTACGCACGGGGGCACGGCTAATATCGATTGCGCTAGGGAAGGGAAAAGGAAAGAATACGGCGGCTCTGGGCTTTTGTCAAATTTCGGTGGTGCGTAAAGCGTCGACACTTCGGTACGTACCGCACCCCTTGCGACTCCATTGATGGCGCGCGTGGCTCGTGACGCATACATATCATTCAAAGTAATTAAGATATAAAAATGTGTTCTTTTTCGTTTTTGGTAGTATTTTATATGTAATATAAATACGTAACGGACGTGATCTGGAAAATATTTATATTATAAATATAGTATAGAAAAAGTTGTATGTTGTGAATATTTTTAATAATAATGTATTTGGAAGTATTAGGAGTGTTATGGCTGAGATTCATACATTCTGATTCGGTGCATCTATTTACGTGACAGTCTACTCTTCCCGTTCTTGGACCTACTTTATTTCTGTAATTAACTGTGCCAGCTAGAGGTAGCACTTCCCCTTCCTTCTTTTACTTCTCATAGTTAATTATTTGTTAGCATGTGGCTAGTACCGTGCTTTGTAACTGCCTTGTACTACCTTGTAGTATAGAAAGCTGATTGAACTATTTCTTCTACAAAATCAGTCGACTCAGCCTCCACAGAACGTGCTAGAATACAAAGATTTTGCTATTGTATTCTGGAATTCTCTAACTTGTTCAGCATTCTTCTAGACTAATTTGTCATCATAGAATGCACTAGAAGCTTATAGATTCAGTTCATTCCTTTCATAGTATAATGTCACAGGTTGACATTGGCTATATAGTGTGCATTCCGAGTTCTGCCTTGCAAGCAGAACATCGTCCTATCTTTTGTAGGTTTGGCCGTCTGGGCATATGCACCCCAGCCTGTTACATATAATGCTCCTACAAGTACTCTTATTAACTTATAGAAGCTTTTATACTTTGGAAGCTTCTAGATACTTAACGTTCGTGTACATAAAGACTTCTTCTCTTCTTTAGTTAGTCACTCCTTAAGCAAGCAAGTAAGCAAGCAAGCACAATCCAAGCAATACAATACAGTCTACTCTTATAGTGCAGAGTTCATTATAATAGTTGTTTCTCATAGTGCAGAGTTCGCTATACTCTTCTGTCTTAAGAGCAGAGTTCTCTTTAAGATCTCTTTTATAACATTCCTTTATTGTCTTTGCTACTATGCTGCTTTCTTTAGCACTGCTGTCGTACTTCCTACCGCTTCCGCTCCGATCTGCTACAAGTGCATAGTTCAGTGTAGCATCTCTATACTGGTGCTATTATTATAGGCTAGTAAAGGCATTGCAGTAAACAGATACTAATATTATTGCATAGTATTATATCAATATAATTATTTTTATCTAGTATTGCATTTAACTACTAGCTGCTAACAAACTTTATATTACGCGAATTCTTTCCAACGTTTTTAATATTTTATTAAGCGGGAACGGAGAGCCGTGGAGACGAGCTTGGGCGCTTGGCGTTGTAGGAGGTGCGGTACGTACTAAAGTATCAACGCTTTACGCAAAGCCCAAATTTCGACCTGCCCAGATCAGTGGGCCGTGAAGATCATAGAACCGGCCCGCGGACAACCGGGGCCCGAGAGCTGTCCGAAGCTCATCGGCCGTTGTATTGTGATAGCCCGTGTGTACTGGTACAAGGGGAAGAAATGCTCAACGGGATACATGAAAAAAGCAAAGAGAAATGATGAGGGAATGGGTGCAGAGAGGTACAATCTAACCCTGGTTTGGTTGTTAGTCTGGTACAAAAAACGCCCAGTTCCACTTCGAACCACTGGGGGTGGAAATGCATTCAGGCTTCGAGTGGACGGGTGCCGTAGGAGGGGACTGCTCTCTTATATCTTCCAGTCTTGAAGGCCTTAGAGGAGACGGTAGAGGCATCAAAGCAGGCGGAGAGAGGCATAAGAGGCTTCTGTGGCGTTTTGACCCCTTGCCATTGTCCCATAATGCTTCAAACGGAGGCCAGTTTCTCTCGTTGAAAGCCAATGAAAGCTCTAGATTTCCCCTGCTCACCCCATGGCAGAAGAACCAAACTAACAGACAAACCAGTATTGAATTGTATGTGAAGGACAGAGAGGGTGGCTGGCAACTTGAATCGACCTGATGAGGAACGAGGGCAAAGTGTCTGTGTGTGAGTAACGTGGTGGAAACCCATGTCTCTTGACTGACGGGAATCGTCAGCATTTTGTCATTTGTCAACAAGAGAAATGCGACGCTTGAAACTTTGCTGACAGGTCCATGATCTTGTCAAACGAAAGACCTGGGAAGTGACTGAAGACCATCGAAATGCTTGGAGTGACGTGACAGCAGAGCGAAACCGCGATGTTCGTTGCACTGATGGATGTGACAGGACTGGAAAGTTAGAGGTAAATGAACAAGCCGAAGCCGAAAAGCCATGAAGCCAGTGTGGAAGGGGCAGCATAGAAGGAAGAGAGAGAAATGGTTCCTAGAAGCTCCCACTTGGTTGTAATGGTGTAATGGTGAGCGAACAAGCCAAGCGTGAACTGGTGAAGAGACCTGCCCAGATAGCTTTGTCGGCTTCCCCCATCTGATGTCGCCCACAAACGTCGCTGGTGAGGTGATGGAGGCAGAGGCAATAGCCGCAACGCCCACGTGATGATCATTCTTACATCTGCGTCGCATAAGTGCACTCATGTGATACAGAAGCAGAAGCAGACGCAGATACAGATCAGAGCTTCGGGAGCAGTCCGGTCCCGGTACTACGGCGCCTCGACAGCTTACTAGGAGGTGATGGATGCTGCCTGTGCGATAACTTCGCCTTCTTTGGGAATGAACAACAGAGTGTGGTAAGGGAAGAGCGGAGAGGGCTCAGAGGTCATGGCGATACGATGAGGGATGTTGGGCAAAGATGAGGCAGCTTGAAAGCAAGTAAAGGGAACGGCGGACGAGGATGAGGAGAGTGTCGGGGTAAATGAAGCAGACGGGAGAAAGATGAATGATGGAGGAAGTAGGACAAGGAGCAGAGGACACGGACGGGACTCGACAGATTGAGGGGGCGGAGTGGAGAAACAAGAGAGGCAGCATCCAATGCGATCAGGCAGATGGGAGGAAACGGGAAGAAACTAAGGAAGTGGAAAAAGGCTGCTCTGGGAGCGGACCCAACCAAGAAGCGTGAAAGTTCAAAGACGGTGAGGACTGTCGTTCCTGCCGTTTTCATAAAGATTAGCACCCAGGGAAATGATGATTACGGGAGGCAAGAATGACTGTCGTACCTGCCTTTGAATGAACTCTATGCTATCTACTTAAAATTAACCAGGAAGAGCTGTTCCATTGAGTTCCGTTGTACAGGTTGGTGGGTGTACTTGGGAGGTCAACCCAGGAAAGAAGTGTGCCTGAAAGGCGAAGCAGAGCAGGAAGAAAGATGGATGGTGAGAAGGAACGATGGACAGCGACGGACGGGAGAAGAAGACGGGGCCGGAGCGAGTCCCAAGCATCGCCGCAATCACAAAGAGTCCATTCTGACGTGCAGGTGATCAGGCGAACGAATGAAGAGATAGAGGAAGCAAGGGAGGAAGGATGGTGACAGAACCAACTACATTGGGCAGGCAGCGGAAGTTTTCTACGCCGCAATGGGTACAACATCGCACCTGCCTTCTTCACGAAGATTAGCACCACCCGAAAATTGGAATGATTGGGCCTTGAAGAGAGGCAAGAACGGGTTTTACACCTGCCTTGATAAACTACGTTATGTATCTGCGCCCAGACTCAAGGAACTCTATGAGTTCCCGTTGAGCACCACATTGCCACTGAGTGTCTCGAGACGGGAGCGCCGCCTGTGTATAAGATGGCATATTCCCACAACGCATGACGCGAAGCAAGCGTACTAAATACAGCCAACCGTCCTCATTGTCCATCTATCATCGGTGGTCGATATTATTCCCCTTGGTCCCTCACTGTCTAGGGTCCTGGGTCCAGGAACGAACAAACAAACAATCATCATCAACATGGAAGTAAAAGAGGCAGGGAGAAGTCAATGACTACACAGATGCCATATCTTCCGTGGCATAGTAATACAAATCCTGTTTTAATAACGCCAACCATTGCTAACCTTTTTCCCTTCCATTTATCCATCCATCCATCCATCCATGCGTTGTTCCGGCCATCCAGCCATGCGTTGCTCCAGTGACCGAAACGAAACCAAAGAAAAAGGAAAGAAAAAGAGAGAAGCATCCTCTATCAAGGATATGCCATCTATAAAAGCAAATAAGAACCGTCCAACACCCAGCCGTGCCATGCTATGTTCCGCTATGTTAGTATGTATAAGCAGACCGCCGACATCCGTAAACCAGGGTAGACCGTGAGAGCGTGAAAAGAAAACCGAGAGAGAGTGACCGGAGAGGAAGGTGCCGCAAAAAAAAGCCATGAGAAACCGGGGCGATGTTGTCTTATGTGGTAGGCGCGTCGTCTGCTGACGTCCACCGTAATTTTTGTCGATGTTATACCGCCAGCCATCAATAACGCGACGGGTATTGAGGGTATGGCCACAAGGTGATGGCGTTATGCAAAAGACGACGTCCCGTGAGCTCCGACAGAAAGCTCACAAGAACAACCCAACCCAAGCATTCTTGAAACCAACCTCAGCCGAGCAATCGTCCACCGCGCAAAGTAGTTGTTGAGTCTTGGACGCCGCACGACCGCCGGTACTAGAACCTGCCGCACCGGAGGACCCTTGATCCTGCTGTTTGAAGCCCGTGTTCTTTATGCATCTGCGGTTTTCGAAACATTTCTTGCAGTAGACCTGTTTGGTTGTCATGGTTAGCAACATGTATCTCAAACAAAGCTCAGTTCGTCCTCATCCTCAGATGATGGATGGGTGAAAGAAGGAACAGAAAAGAAATACTCACATGTCCACACTCCTTAACAGCCCAAAAAAAGTGTTCCTCGCGATCCTTCCTCGTCCTCGCCTTCTTCGGCGTCGGTGCTTGTCCCGCCTTCTGGTCTTCCTCATCCTGATCATAAGCCAGCTCTTCCTCACAGCTCGGACAAACAATAGCCAGATCCTCTCCCGTCGCCCTCGTGAACCCTGGCCTAGCCGGTGGCGGCGCGAGTGCATTCCTCGCTTGCTCAGCAGCAGCAGCAGCCGCCGCCGCCGCACCTCCGTTTCGTCCGTTGTTGCCGTAGTCAAAGTTTGGTATGTTTCTTCCCAGAGGGTTGTTGTTGGCGTCCAAGCCGATGAGCTGGACTTCGAGGTCCGGCCGGACATTGGCGAAGGCGCCCATGCGGATGAGCTGGAAGAAATTGTCAAACGCGCCGCCTAGACCACCGCCACCTGCGCGCGCGGCTCTACCGGCGGCGGCTGGGGGACGGACGGGGGCGCCAAAGAAGTTACGTGCTGCTGGTGGGCGATGAGCAGCGCGAGCGATGGCGTCGTCGTCGTCGGAATTGACTTCGCCTAGGTCGACAATGAGTTCGTTGGCGGCAGGGCGACGGTTCACGGGCCTGCGGCTGCGTTCGATGTTTCCTCGACGGCGGTGACCAGCAGCCGGGCCAGCTGGGGCGGGGTCGTCATCGTCCTGCGTAAGGTCGATGACTTCGGGGAATTCGTTGCCAGCTTGGTTGGCAGGAGCACCACCAGCGGCGGCACCGTTGTTGTTGGCGTTGGCAGACATTGCGCGACGTGCTGCGCGACGTGCTTCAACTGATGCTGAAGGGCGGTGACGGCGAATTACTCTAGACCGACCGATTCGAAGAGGCGCGTCGTCAGAATCTTCCAAATCTGAGGTGAGGTCGATGACAACTTGGTTGTCTTGTTGTGCGGGGTTGTCATTGTTGTTGTTCTGGTCGTTATCGGCGGCGGCAGCGGGAGTGCGCCTGTCTGCCCGCCGGCCACCCGGCCATCCTACTTCCATCTCGACTAGTTCGTCCAGCCTGTCGGCGTTGTTGTTTCGCGGGGCAGCTGGTCCTTCACCCAAACCCAAAAGACCTCCCCCGCCTTGTTGCTGTTGCTGTTGCTGTTGTTGAGCCCGGCGACGGTCAAGCAGAGCCGGCACGCGATACGGGTGGTGACGATTTTGTTCGCGGCGGTTGACCTCCTCTCCGGCAATCGATTCGAACTGCCGACGCGCCTCAGCCAGTCCTTGCACAAACAGCTGACGGCGTTGCTCTAGTTCGTCAAGACGCGCCTCGATACGCGCGCTGGCTTCGAAAATGTTGAATTGTTCGCGGACACGGCGTTCAACAGAGGAATCGGAATCGTAGTCGCTTTCGTCGTCGTTTGAGGTGTCTTCGTTGTTGTCTTCGTCCTCGTCTTCTTGTTCGTTGTCGTCGTTTTCGCTGTCTTCGTCTATATCTGTCGAGAAGCCGCTGCTGTTGCTGCTGTAAACGCCGGGAATGTCGAGGCCGGAGTCGTGCTCAAAGTCGTAAGGAAGGTCGAGGTCGATGTCAAATCCAGGGTCGGCGTCGACCAGGCTAGATTCGCTAGATGACGGAGACTGTGGGGAATGTGGGCTTTGGATGGGATGGCGGGGCGACTGCGGGCCGTCGCTGTCAATGTTGAAGTGGAAGTGACCCTCTTCTTCTGATAGTACTTCTTCGAGATCGAGCGAAAGGTCGCGGAATTCAAAACGTGGATCGTCGTCAATGTCCGATAGATCGATGTCGTTGTCCACCAGATTATGGTTGTCGTCCAAGTCCACTTCTACCAGTTCGCCGTGGTAGTCGTCGAGGTCGATGTCAAAGTCACTGCTGTCCCCGTTGTCGTTGTCGTTGTTTTCGTTGTTATCGCTATCCTCCAAATGGTCCTGGTAATGGTCCTCGAATTCCACTGCGCCCTCGGCGACAAGCTGATGATCAATCTGGTACAACAAATTGAAATCGCCCTCGTCACCAAACCAGTCATCCGCCGCGTCCATAGTGACGGGGGGGAGACGGATGGAAGGAGGCAGGAAGGAAGGTGATTCAAAACCTTTGCCAAGTGTCGGTGTTCGGTGGGTGAATTGTTAATGCTTGTTTACTGCCGTCTGTCGCTGTGAACAGTCGCCTCCGCGGCAATGCACGGACTAACAGTTAGACCTTGAACTTTCGGGCTCTCCCTTGCCGCTGGTGATGAATGACACGACCAGCAAGAAGGCCGAATCGCCTCGATGGATAGTTCTCCCCGGATTCCGAGGATTTGAAATCGTCCACGTGTTGAAATAAAGAACAAAAGGCCAATTCGTCCGTAATGCTGGACGGTGATCAAGCAAAGTCAGGACAGGGTTGAAGGAGAGCTGGAGAGCTGTATGCAGCCTCGGGGGTCGGTGGTGGCAAACGCAGCTTGCTCAAGCAGCTTGGTCAGCAAATGAGCGAATAGCGTGTTGCTGTTGTTGTTTGTTGTTGACCAAGTAGACAAATGGAAGTCTTACTGTCACCGTGATCGATGGAAAAGAAAACTCGATGAACAAAGGAAGGAGGTGAGCGGTATATCTGTGACACCCACGGGGTCTTCTTCCCAAGTTGCTAATGAAATGGAGAAGCCGTTGTGTTATTGCAACCACAGGGGAACGTGGAGGTCGTTTGTTGTGCTTGGTCACACAATCGATGAGGGGCTGCAGTTAAGGTTGACCATATCCAGGTTGCCCACTGGCGCTGTGAACCATCAGCTGTTTAACCATCCCATTCAGTCTCGTCACAGGCACGATTATGATGCTCTTCCTTGTGCTTTTTGTACCATTTCAGTAATCATTGGGTTTCCAATATTAAGGTACAATGTTATTCCTCGACGGCTTAGTCGCCGTCTTTCACGAGTGCCTGTCTCAACATAAAGTTGACCAACAAATTGGAGGCGGGGACGGGAGCTAAGCGCAAAGCTTGGTGTAGCCCTGTTAGCACCTCAACAGCCTTAACATTATATCCCGTTGCCGTAATGGTGCTCTCTTAACAGAAAGACATAGTCGTCGATAAACACATCCGTGCCGCTTCGGACGTTCAGGAACAAACAGCCCCCAGCCTATCAAATTGCACTATTGCACTATCCCTGATCTTATCGTAAGCTCTTTCAAGGTCTGATATTGGGCCCTGATATTGTTGCTCTTGCTTGCTGCCAGACAACGTTAAAGTTGACATCATCAACATCAGGTGAAGCCGCGTAGCAGTATCTCAACAAGATAGGCATTGTTTCGCTTCCATATGATCAGATACATCAGTGAAGGAATATATTTGACAAACATGGTCTTCATAACAATCAGCTCCCGATAGTATCCCGGCTCTGAACCTATATATCTAGCACGAGCCCTTTTCGAATACCAACTAGACGACCTCTCCACACGCCTCTGAGCTCTGGCTGGCATCATTGATTCAACGCCAACCAGTCGAGACCAGAGTAATTCAGTTCTCTCTTCAGCTGCTCCCCGCCGCCCACCGTCATGGGTTTCTCCTCCGAGTCCGGCCTTTCATATTTCCCAATGCGATCCTACTCGCTCTGCTGCGGCTCCAAAACGGAAACCACACCCTCCTTGCTAACAGCCACCAGCTGCCTCGCCTTATCACCCCACTGCACCGCCACGGCAGGCGTGCTCGTCCTCAACGGTTCCGTCCACGACTTGCTAGCCTTGACATACTGCTGCACTGTGACGCCCTGCGATCCGGCAGTAGCCAGGTACTGGCCCGTGTAATCCCAGGCAAGACCCAAGACGTCGCCGGTCTGGAGCTCCTTGGCGCGCGCGGCGTCGCCCTCCTTGCGAAGGTCAAAGACGGTGACGGAGGACTGGCCGACGCCGGTGGCGGCGAACCAGAAGCCGTTTTCGGAGAAGACGAGGGTCTTGACGGGGCTGCCGAGGGTGAAGTTGGCCATGCGCTGGAGGGTCTTGGTGTCGAAGATCTCGATCAGGCCGGATTGCGTGCCGGCCGCGAAGAGGTGGCCGTCGGGGTGGAAGGCGCAGGATGTGAGTTCTAATGTTACATTTTGTTAGTACTAGTGGTGATGGAAGAGGAGGGGTTCAACAGGAAGTACGTACCAGCATCGGTATAAACACGCGCCACACGCTGCAGCGACTGCAAATCGTAAAAGATGATGCCCTTATCCACGCCCACCGAAGCAAGAATATGCTCGCCAGGGTGCACAGCCAAGCCCGTAACAGCACCAGCGTGCTCCGTTATAGAACCAGTCTCGACACCACCCTCAACAGCCTTGACACTGCCCCTGGAAGTGGCCGAGACGACCTTGTTGCCGATCCATACCGTGGCGGTTACCGGCTCGCCGATCTCCAGAGAGCGCTCGTGTGCCTTGGCCTCGACCGAGTAGAGGTCCACCTTGCCGTCCAATCCACCGACTGCCGCATAACCAGCGTTAAGGGCAAGCGAGGTTGCTTGTGTGACGGGGAGATCTGTGTAGGCGGTTTGTTGGAGAGCGGAGACGTCTTCTGTGGAGGCCCAGCCTTCGGGGACTGGTCGCTTCTTGCGACCCTTTTGCTTTCTGTTATCGTGTTTGTCAGTATTGCTTTTCGCAGTATGAAAGAGGGTGGTAACATACTCAGCCTGAACCTGATCAACATGTGCAGCCAACGCCTCGGGCAGACCCTCGCTATCCACCGCCATAGCATCATCGCCACCAGTCGCGGCGCCGCCAGCAGAAGCCGTAACTGTGAGTCTGGAAAGGGCCTCGCGGGCCTCGTCGCGCTCCTTGGTCAAGCGAGCAATCACGCGGACGGCGGCATCGTTCTGGTACAGCGCCGTGGCCAATTCCTCCCTTGTCCTCGCCAGTTGTTGCCTGGTGTTGTATGACTCTAGTACCAGGGCGTCCCACTCATCCTGAAAAGCCTTGAGCATCGATGGGAGGGATGTGAACTGCGGGGGGCGGGGGCGGACGATCCGATTTGTCTTGATGGGGAGGAGGTCTTCAACGTCTAGCTCTTCATCGGTGCCGGGCTCTTTGTGGTTCTCTTGGATGTACTTTTCGATCAATCGCTTCTCGAAGACGGCGCCTGGTATATGTTAGTTATGCCATTGCGTGTGGACTGTCTTGGCAAGGTCGGGGTGCGGCTTTGTGGGAAACAGAAGCGGTGGGAACAGTGGGATTTCGGTGATGGTGACAACAATGACGAAGAGTAGTGCTGCGTACCGGTCTTCCTCGAGACAACAGGCTCCTCGGGAACCTCTCCGGATACTGCGTCAATCGATTAGCACAGCGCCGCGCAACGGTAAGTTTGGGATCAGACATACGTGCGCAAAGCATCTTGAGAATACGAATGCAATGCGGAATCTGTAAAATGGGTTGTTTGGTTCAAGTCGCGATGTCAATGTCGTCCTCCAACTTTTTTGTTGCACCGCGCCACGGCCAGCAGCCAGCAGCAGGCAGGTGAGACGGCCTGGAGCTGGGACGGGACGCTACTTGGAAGTTTGGGCGGCAGGCAGAGAACCGAATTGCCAAGCACAAGCCACACCGAGCCGCACACCACGGTGAGTGGCCAATCATGTTACAAGAATGCGTTTAGGAGGTACTTTCGCAATGTATCTTCCATTCGTCATTTGCAGCAACAACAACATCAACGCCATGATATTCAGGTCATCGCCAAATCTACATATAAATCTCTCCCTTCATAACCACCACCGCGGTTCCTCCCAAATACAAATCCTTCACCTTCACCTCACCAATTTCCTCCACCGCCGTCGCCTCAACCTCAATCTCACTCTGTCTCCCCATCTCCACGCCCTGCGTCAGCTCAAACCTCGCCCCTCCCGTCTCTCTCCCACTAACCGTCAAATAACTGGCCAGCGTGCACGCTGCGCTTCCCGTAGCCGGATCCTCAAAACCCAATTCCACCATTCTCGTCCTAAACTTGAACTCCTTCCTGCCCGTCTCCTCATCCTTTCGTTCCTCTTCAGTAGGCACATAATAATACCTGCAAACAAACCCGCCCTCCCACTCGCCCTTATCCAACAATCCCTTCACTTTACTGAAATCCAGCCTCTTAGCCGTCGACACCTTTGCCAGATGTTCCAGACTAGGCAGTTTAGCCAGCAAGAACGTCATGCCGCGGACGATGCTCACCGCCGGACCATTGAGCTCGGCGTGTCTGATTTCCGGGTCGTCTGATAGCGCAGCGGTGATGAACTCCTTTGTTTCCGCCCTCACCCCCCCTTTACTCCCCAAGATTCCACCGAGGGTCTGCGAGTGAACATGCACAGCATGCGGAATTGTAGCCTTCACCCTCTTACCATCCCCCTCCAACGGTCTAATCCCAATCGGCCCCGCCTTAGTAACCAACGTATCAACATGTTTCCAACCCAAATGATTCAACACCAAATACGCCGCTCCCACCGTGGGGTGTCCAGCAAATGGAAGTTCCTCCTCGATGGTGAAAATGTCGATCTCCCTGGATGTGACGGATGATCCATCGCGCGCTTCGTCGTCGAGGACGTGCAGGAAGACGGTCTCGGAGAAGTTGAATTCGCGGGCGATGCGCTGCTTGACATCCTGTGTGAGATGGGGACGTTGAGAGGACGGGACGAGGACGACGGCGAGGGGGTTGCCAAGGTAGCGGGTTGAGGTGAAGACGTCGACTGTTAGGTAGGTGAGCGTGATGGATTGGGAGGCCATTTTGGATCTCTTGTTGTCGTTGTTTGCTTTGGGGCGCGAGTGCGTTGTGTCTGGGTGAGCGGGTTAGTGAGTGAACTGAGCTGAGACCGGGAACTTGAAGGCTGTGGTACCTTACGGTGATATTGATGTTTTGGATATTTGGGACAGACCTCAACGTCACTGTTACGGTGTTGAGGTTTTATGTCTTCGAGGAGAATTGGAGTCATCCTTTGAAGGTTGATGAATCACGAATAGCTGAAAGTGGGGCAGCTCCAATTGCTAGTGAGGTTCGTCCGAGTGGACGCGTCCTCAAAGCAACATCACAGTCATCGACTTACTAATCCACGACGTTGGCCCCGGATATCGGCCTTCTTACGTGATGCGGAGAATTACGCTTTCCGGTACCGTCTCCATCTATCTCCTTTCGTTTTCCTGCTTCTTATTCGACCCGCGGAGAAGGGAGAATGGATGATTCTGGTTTTTCCACGCCGGAGAATGTATGAATTGCTCCATTGTCTTCTCTTTTTCCCTTCTCTTCTTTTGTTCCCTTTAGCTGCCCTCTTCTTTCCCTTCATGATATTCACTGTCAGCTTAACATTCCCGATGTCTGTTCGTCAGATTGCTAGGTGCTCGTTATTCGAACATATGAATGGTGTATGAACAGTATCTGAAATATATGCCGGAGAATGAAATGATAAAGATAGTACCCAACACGCCACGTTCACAAAGTCTCACATCACTCATCTCGGTTGGAAGCACCCTGGCACTCCCAAGCTTCGTTCTAGTCCAAACCGGTAGTCCTCCTTGTGAGTTTCTTGATGATGGAGTCGGCTGCAACAGTTGCTTCCATACCCCCGCCAGCTACCATATTGTTTCTCTCTGAGTTAAAGGACCGATACCATCCATGAGTCAAGGGCTCAAAGACGTGATCCTGTGGGTGGATATCGTCCTTATGCTTATAGCATTTGAAGCAGAGGTCAAATTCGGCCAAATAAGACTCATTGGTACACGTGGTGCAGTGCCAGGTCTCCCCGTATGTGCTCTGTTTGACCCGTGGTGTCAGCTAACCAAATACTTCAGACGGGACTGAGCCTGGGATGGTAGGGATGAAGAGAGGAAAGGAGTTTTGACATACACACCAACAAGCGTTGCAAAGAGCGCTTAAATACTGTCCCGGCCTGTCTGGCAATCTCTCTTTCTTGTTGCTGTCGGTCTCATTGTCCTCCGCTGTTTTAAGCTCATCCTCGCTACTATCGGACGAGCTACTTTCGGACTGGGGATGGCCATTCTCGAGATAATCATTGTCATGATAGATGGCAACATGTTGCGGCAACCACCCTTCTTCAGTTTCCTTGTCCACACTGGCTCCTTTCTCGACCAGCCACTTCACCATGTCGTCATTGCATGCCTTTCTGCAGGCCCAATGTAATGGCGTCCATCCATCCTTGTCGGTGTTGTCCAAAAGCCGACGAACATCACGCTGCGTACCCTCCGCAACCTTGAGAATCTCTTCGGCGAGGCTAATACAACCTCGTGCGGCGACAAAATGCAGGATAGACCTTTTGAGATGGTCACGCTTCCACAGCGTCTTCATCGTTGGGTCTATAGCTTGGATGATGTCCCATCGATTCTCTCCGGACCAGACTGCAAGATGAATGGGCAAGCGGCCCAGGAGATCTTGTTTGCGAATGTCGACACCCTCCTGTTTAAATACCAATTTTACGATCCGCAGCGATGCCCTTTCCGCAGCTTGATGAAAGGCTGTGGCCCCGTGATTGCTTGCATTGGCCGGCATCGTCACCGAAACCTTATATTTCCCAACGAGATCACCAAACCATTTCTCCACAAAGTCATCGTCGTCTCGATGGCCTGCCAGAAGGGCGTTTAATACCGTTCCATGCCGTCCACCGCATTTGTGTATGACTTCGAGGGTCAACTTCTCCAACAGGGTTGTGGCAAGGGGGCCGCGCCGGCTGAAGACCGCTGCTTGCAATACGTACGCCATGGAATCCCCCACAATAGCTAGATCAGCGTCATGTCGTACCAGCGAGTGTACTGTGTCCAAGAATAAAGATGTGTCATTTCCCCTCGGCTGACAGGCGACAGCAACCTGAAGTGCAGTCCCGTATTTACCGGATTCGGTATCGACTTGAATGAGATTCTTGTCACGGGTCAAAATCGACTCGACAACAAGAGGTTGGTGACGAGCGGCGGCGTAATGTAGAGCAGTTCCGTATACACCAAGCTCCAATTTCGAGATATCCCATTGATCCCAAACAGTTTCGAGTGCCAACACCCACTCGTCCCACAGTAGTGAAGAGATGAAGTCCTTGAATGTCGAATGCTTATGGCTGTCTAGAACCATGTTCATCATTCCAGGCAGGACAGCCGTGGCGAAATCCTTGTCAGATAACTCTGGGGAAGATTTTAGGTGGTTCTTTAGTTTTGTGCTGGATGGATGGATCCATGCCAGACCACTTTGTGCAAGTTTAGCCAGCAGCAGTTTTCCGCATTCTTTGCTTCGGCTGCTGATAACCAAATCGAGAGGTGATTCACCGGAGTCATTCAATGCCGTCAGGTTAGCTCCAGCATCGATCAAAAGCTTGAGCGAGGAGTGAGCATTCCTACGAGTTGCATCCATGAGAGGTGTGAAGCCGTTGTCGTCTGGACTCTCAAGATTAGCCCTCCGCAGAATTAGAAGCTTGACGACCTCAACCCGGCTGTACCAAGCCGCAAAGTGTAATGCGCTGTTCTTGAATCCGTCAACGGCGTTGACGTCGACGCCGTAGTCGAGTAGCCGCTCCACCAATGATACTATGCCTTCCCTAGCCGCGTTGCGGAGAGCCTCGGAAAGACTTGAATGAGTGCCCCCATATTGCACCATTCTTTCAATCAACACACCTGCAGTGTTGTAATGGCCATTCGAAAGTGCTTCTTTGAACCCTAGGAACACATCATCTTCGTTGAGCTTAACGACCGAGCCATTATCGTGTGCGAGAAGAAGGCGGACAACCTCCGAATGTCCAAAACCGGCTGCGTAGCATAGGGGTGTCCGCGATGCCCAGCTGTCATCTTCGAGATTGGCATCAAAGCCACAGTTCAAAGAAATTGGACCACGTCCAGTGCACCTTTTTTCGAGGCATGATGCAAAGCTGACATTCCTCTGTCGTCTGTCAGGCTTATATTCGCTCCCTTTGCCTCCATCATCTCGCATATTTTCAAGTATCCTTGACTGGCGGCCATGACAAACGCTGGGGTCCCTGAAGATTTGATATCTATGGGACACTTGACTTCATCCTTTGAGAAGTTACGGCTGGAGCCTTCGTCATCTGCCGTATGTTCTGAATCCGAGGTAGAGTTGGAGTCAGAGTCTGAATCCGAATTGTCCGCAACATCAACCCGGGCTTGCTCCAAATCGTGCGACTTGAGGTGTTCGTCCTCTGGAGGTAGTACTGCATTCCCAGCGCGCTCTAGCATACTGTTTATTAGAAGACTGGCGACCTCCAAATGTCCATGGGCAAGAGCGAGGTGCAACGGTACACTGTCTCCGGAGTTCCTCGAAAGCAGTCCAACCCCATGCTCTGCGGCTGAGAGAAGAGCGACTGTCTTGTAAAAACCACTTCGACTTGCAAGATGTAGTGCAGAATTCCCTGATGTCGGGCTCTTTTGGTGGATGTCGCCTTCTCTCTTCAGCAGCAGACTCACCACACTGGAAAACCCATTAATAGATGCCACCATAAGTGCAGTTAACCCCGACTCAATCTGGATGTTCACCGGCGAGATGACTTCCAGCAGTTTTCCTACAATTCCCTCTTGTCCCGAAGCTACCGCAGCAAGAAGGGTCTCTCTGTACAGATCCCGTTCTCCTCCGATGTTGCCGTTGTTGTGCTCCAGATCATTGATACTTGTCAGAATCTTCTCAGTAAGCGAGAGATCTCCAAGGCGACTCGCTACACGAGCCAGGTAGGCAATATTCTCTGTCCTCTTCGGGCTCTTGATTGTGAGACGAAGAATTCCGAGGTTATGGGATGCAACCTGGTAGAAAGTCATGCTTTGGTCAAGAGATGAGCAAATATTCTCCAGCGTCTGCTCAAGATCCAGAGAGGAGCAAATCTCGTGTAGCGTGCTCTCGAACAGGTCTGTTCTCTTTGGGAACGGCATCAGAAGATACTGGGCGATTGTTTCTTTCCGATAAGACAGTCCACTTTGTTTGAGGAAGCGAGACAGTGAACCGGCAAAAATCCAGTCATTCTCATATATGGCCTTCAGAAGCAAGCTATCGTGGTGGCTGTTCCAAGTGTCGAACCGAGTAGCGAGGGTTGCAGAGATTGACGTGGCATGTTGGAGGGAGATCTTGAGCCTGGATTGCAAAGAAGCCGGTGAGAATTCCACCCAACTCTCGAGATTATCCGAGGTCTTTAGACATGACCATTTGGAAACCGGGACCTCGATGCACTGACGCCACCTTTCTACATCTGCGGGGCTGTTGAGAAAATCCGCGATGAGATGCTCTAGAGCCAAATTGGCTTCACCCTTATGTGCGACTCCATTAGGTTGCTGGCTGACACTTCCTAGCGGAAATGACTGTGAGTGATGCACGCTCCATGAAGAAAAAGCATGCTCAGCCATTATATTTGGCTCAATAACGCTTGACTTTGTGTCTGTGAAGATTCCGGTGTGGAGCTGTTTGGAAAGCTCGTATTTGATTTGCAAAAGACAAGACCTCGCCAGGTAGGCTGAAGGTGAAGCTGCAGAAACAAGTTTCAGGTATTCTGGCTCCAGAAGATGTTGCCGAACATGGACGGAAGTAGGGTAAACATGGCAACTGTCCACAACAGCAGTGCCTGGAAGAGCTTTCATGACGTCGCGCGCAAGAGATTGGCGGCATTCGGATAGACGGAAACAGCCCGACTCGTAAAGATTGACACTGTCTGCAGTCAGGGCCGGCTATTGCAGTTACAACCTGGAGAAGAACAGGAAATCTGATCCCATCATCAAGTCAAAGTTGACTGCCTCGTCGAGTTCACGGAGAGTCAAGGTACGTCTCGCATGGTAAATCCACAAAGGTGCCACAAGAAGCCAGTTGCCGTGAAGGCGTATTGCTCTGGACAACCATTGGGCGGAAGGCTCTTCGGTGGCCAGTGAAGACATAGTCAAGTTTCCGTTCTTGAATCTCTGGTGATGACAGAAAAGAAGTTGGTCCACTTCTGACCACGACGCCGCTCACCTCAACTTCGATAAGACCTTAGGCTCAATCTCTGGTAAAACACCGTGAGTAACAACCCACTCTCCTATATCGTCGCTAAGAGCGTTGGTGAATTCCAGGTCATCCGGATTTTGGATACAAAACTGCGGCATGTGTTAATCTGGCATCTCTTCTAGTATGGTTGATTGTAGTTGAGTAGGTGACGTTGTCAGAAGAAGAACAGTGGCCCGACAATCAGTTCGATCTAGGCTTTGAAAGAGGGTTCTGACGACGTTTTGTGCTGGAATAGTAAGCGAAGTGACGTGAACGACGACATATGTCTCTCTGCAAAGTTTTTGACGAGATAGAAGTTTCCTGAGCAGCCCTTGAAGTTGTCTGCTAAGCTCAGGAAAAAGCATTTGTCCCTTCGCGTATAGCATCTCCGGAAGACCGACGTCCCAAATTTGCATCGCCAAACTTGGCTGCTGGAAAAGAAGCTCGGAACACAACGATCCATAGAGTATGGACGTTAGAAGAGAAATCGAGCCCTCTGGCTCTGTGTCTGTAGAGGTAGTATCCAAATGCAACGTGATTGGATGAATAAGGGGATTGGTATTGATCCTCTGGTCAAGAGCCAGTGCAAGTGCATTTCCAAGTTGGTCGGGGCGAACGGGAAATTGCGGCAGTGAAGGGCAAAGGAAAGTCTGACGACGCGTTGATGACTTTAACCATTCCTGAACATCCGTCTTGTTCGCAAGGAACTTGGCCAGGGTCGTGTAGGTCTGAAGAGAAGGCGGAAGTTTTCTTCGGAACCCAAAATCTAAGATCCGGAGTAGCTGCTGGTAGACATTAAGCTTGCCTACAAGGTATCGGTTAGTATTGAGTCAAATAGCTAGCGTCGGGGCTTCTTTTTAGCCCTGTAGCGGGAAATATAGCTTACGTATACAAGCATCTTCAAACTGGATTCTCCAGAACTCTTCTTGATCGTGCCCAATTGCCTCATAGAGCTGGGAATGAGATGTATCCATCCCTAGCGAAATGTCATTGGCGAGTAGGGTTTTAGCGCAAGACCCGGCAACCACCTGCGTGTCCGGTGTCTTCCATGTTAGTCCACCGTTTGGTCGAGGGTGAATGAGCATGGATGATGATGGACACTAACCTGTGAATCCGATGACCCCTGACCATACTTCTGAAAACAATTCACAATTTTATAAGGCTTGTCACATGCCGCTTGTTCAAATCTCGCAGCAACAGTAGCATGGTATTCGGCCAAACCAACCAGTAGCTGAGGTGATGGATGGGCGTGATTTCCTGTGTTGATCGATGGGTACGGAAGTTTGGAAAGAACCGAGATCGACTCAGAGATATTTGTGGTGCGGTGCAAGGACCCAAAGAACGCCTGGTTGTAAGACAATCAGAATCAGCACAGTATTGGTTCTGCGTGGTTTTGCTTTGAGAGGCGAAGCACAGCCCACAGCAGAGCTCCATCCGTATTGGTCTTGACAATAGGGTTGAGGGAGATGTGAAGAACGCAAGGTTGAGACAGAGACCAAGTAAAACTGACAATCAAGCATATCCTGTTGACCAACTCGTCATTCTGGCAATGAGAGTCAAATACAGCCAGCGAAAGAGCCTGTCAGGGAGTCAGGGTGTGCTGTTAGCAAGTTTTTGGGTAATGAAGTGCTTGGTTAAGACATCTTACCTCCTTGACAATCGTGGCACCAAGATCGACAGCTGAGATAGCAATGTATGACTCGCTATGCACTCGCTATTTTTACCCGTCAGCTACGGAAACATAAACACGTAAGGGTTTCTGGGTATCGATAAACAACACTCACCTTGCTCATGAACCGAAGCAAATCGCGTGCCAATCGATTGAATGTCTCTTGTGGTGCCCCGATTGTGAGGATATCTGATGGGTCATAATGATAGCGCTCATAGTCTGTCACACGGACATATGCTACACTCCTGGTGGCATACGGGCATATGCCACACTGTCAAACGGGCATATTCCACACTCCTGGTGTCATACGAGAAAGACCTACATGTATGCAGATCGCTAGATGCCTTGGAGCCTCAGGTGACAAGGACCTGTACGTACTAGATAGGTACCGTTTCCCCTTGGCATAAGAAGGCCTTGAAGCCCAGCCTTTCTCTAGAGGTTGAAAGGACCAACAAGGCCTTCGAGACCAAAGTAGTTTATCAGCGGAATTGAACTACTGTTCCAAGCCCCGAACACTGCCCTTGTCACACTAAGAGTGGCGCTTTTGGATAATGGCGTCAACCCAGAAAAGGATGGCATAAGCAAAAACTTGGCTTCTTACGGCTTTCCTCGGAGCTCCTTACACGGGAAAGATGATCCTTGGTACACATCAACAAACGGCCACGGTACTGTGATGGCTTCGATCATTGCGAGTATCTGCCCCTTTGTGGAGATCCACGTGGCCAAGATTGACTGCCGTAAGCAAGGATACCTACCGAACCCCGTCTTTGACGTGAGAAAACTCCCAGATGTAGGTACTTCGTCTCCGTGCCAATGCATCTTCATCCCTTCGGCTTCAGTCAAGGGCTCGGTGTACCCCATCCTTCAACTAACTTTCCTCTCTCTTCATCCTTTTAGGCCATCGAATGGGCACTCGACAACGACATAGAAATCATGTCGACGAGTTGGATCTTCAGGGATCATGTTGAACTGCAAGCTCCGTCCGCAAAGCCCAAGGATACTTCCGAACTCCAAACCCCTGCCTCGAAACTCAAGAGATTGATCGACAACGACGAAAGGTCGGCGACAGTGGTGATTTACTCTGCAGCTAGGGATAAGGAAAACGACGCTGACAAGTCCGAATACTATCCGGCTGACTGCACGAGAGCACAATCAATCGGTGCTGCGAACATTCACAATAGCCCACAGCGGTATGTTGTGCCAAAGGCGACAGATTTTATTTTCCCCAGTCAAAACGTCGTTGACGGCGACGCCGATGGTGGTAACTCCGTGGCCACTGCCGTGGCTGCTGGCGTCGCTGCACTTGTTCTACACTGTTTCCGGGAGGATAACTTGGAACTGAAGCCCGCCGTCCGCCGTTCTTTCATGGAGAAGCTGTTTCGTGACCTGGCAGAGCCGAACACCAAATATGTCAATCTGGAAAAACTCTTCTCTCGCAGTGATTCCGAACCTGCCAACCCCCACAGGTTTGTGGAGAGCGTACTTGCAAAACTGAGCTTGGAACGTTCCCAAGTAGAAAGCGGGCGATGGTTCTCGCATGCCCGGTGAGGACGGGGAGGGTATCCGGAGTTGTCGCCCAGTGGCAAATTGGTTATGGATGAGACAAACATGGCGTGTGAGCAGACATGTAGCGACGACTCAACTTGGGACAGGCGTTTAATTGACGTTTTGGAATTAATTACCCTTCAATTGGATGCCTCAGACACACGGCACCAGAGAAGGACACAACCAAGGAAAGTATGAATGATCATCACGTTTCGTATTGCTTGCTGGCAGCCTCCTCGGGTGAGATTGAGTTTCTTCACGCGTGGCAAGAAGCGCCCATAACACGGGAAATAACCAGATGAGCGCGTTCCCAGAGTTTGAACACCCTCAAGGGCCCTGTTCCATACCTTTACAAGTAAGTACCTAACCGGCGTCCAGTGTCGACATTTCTTACGAGATTTCCCAAGCGGGGAACTCCAACTTCACCATATCACGCTTACCTCCATTACCTTACATGACATAATGAGGCAATGCTTTACTCGGTCGGGGTGGCAGTCCAAATTCACATCACGGATCATATCATCAACAGCACATGGTCCCGATAACAACCAGATACTAGACTTTTAAACCCACAAACTGGAAGGCACGATACCGGTATCTCAAACCTAGAGTGTATCAAGCACAGCAGGCACATCCTTTCCCGATCTTAGAAAGCGCGGGGATCTTGCAGAAAGCTTCGCCACCCCAATTCACCCCATGACATTTGGTCCTTCCTTTCGATGCCCAATTCGTCGTCGACAATCAAGAAGTGGAAGGCAGCAACGCAGAAGATAGTCGGGCGAACCAGCTCCGGGTCCGTCCAGTCGAACGAGACGGTGATAAGGATGGAACATCAAGCACCTATGGTTAGGAACAGGGCTGGCAGGTGTGGTGGAACACAAGAGGCGGCGACTATCTTGTTGACATCCTCATTCATGCGAGTTTCTCCTTTCGGATCTCCATTTCAGCTTCAGCCATTGATCAAGCTTCAATATTCTTGTCCCTAACCATATGACCGCTGCCAGCTCTCTTTTATTGGGTTCCATGAGCGGCGAATGCATGATAATGAGCTGAAAGATGTACATGCAAGTCACATATATGGCTCTAATAACACGATTGTATTGGAAGGAGCAAGTCAGGCTGTGATATAGACGGTCTTTTACATGATCAGCACACCCTTCCACAGGCGCCAAGACACGGGCCGCTTTCTCAGCCTCTTGGAGGAAGAGGAGAATGTGGTATCAGTATTGCCCAAAGGGTCGTCATCTATTCACGCAGAGTTTGGATCCAAAGCCATTCAAGCAGAGTTAGTACCTTGACTGACTGATACCCAACATTCCAACCCGTCACAAACTTCCTTTCCCATTTCAGGTCACTGCGACCAGGGATAGTGAGGTTATCCGCCCTAAACTTTGTCTCTGGATCTCTGGCGACTGGTAGCGCTCAGTTTATCAGACTACGTCCAACCCAGCGAAAACTCCAAACATGGAAAATATCGACGACATCACGTTCGACATCCCTCTTGACCCTTCTAACGACGAACAGGCCAGCTTAAGTTTCGCAACACGAGCCTTTATCAGTTTCATCGCGAGCATGTCACCGGCTCTGACAAGAAAGGCACCAACGTCGTTCGCGGACGCCTCGTCCATGTTGTTCATGGCTTCAAATCCGCCGCTTTCCCCTCTAAACTGCGAGCGGACCAATGCATCCCCAAGCTATATCTCGCCAACGGCGACACTACCCCGTGTACTCTCATTGTGCTTGAGTGGACGATGATCCCTGACAGCACCGAAACCCGCAATCGATTCCGCTCCGTGGATATCAAGCTAGTCTTCGCCGCCTCACACTTCCGCGTCGGAGTACCAGAGGGCGGTGACATTTCACAATGGGATCCGGTACCAAAGGAGACCATGCCAACCGAGAAGAACCCGAATCGTGTAGGCTTGACTTCCGTTGACGCATCCGTTTCCAAAGGGTGGACTGCCAGCGCATCCGCGGGATATCAAGGCTACCTCTCGGTAAACGGGGACCGCAACAAGGCCAAGAGCCTCCAGTTCAAGTACGAGACTTCCTCCCTGTTGAAGGGCGAGATTGGACACGACGAGAAGACATGCGGCGAGCCCAATGCGGTCAAATTCACGTTTCTGGAAGACCCAACAACTAAGAGAGGGGTGCCGCTAGTGGTGCGAACGGCCATAGTCGTGCAGCGCCTAAAGAGAGACGTGAAAGGAAAGTTTGCGATGACGGTTGATGTATCGACAAACGTGCACTGGCTGGAAGGCATCAAAGAGGACTGGCGCAGGGTGGTAGGCGGCAGGTGGCGCGATGACCCGGTCTATTTTGATCCGGGTGCGTCCTACATGGTGAAGGACGGGGCAAGGGTAGAAAGGAATGATTTCATCATGGACGGCGTGGATTGGTGCAGATTGAATGACGTCGACTTGAGACAGTTTATGGTGGGCTACGTCAAACCTTCTCCCATCAAGAAGGAAGAGAAAGCTGCTCCCATAAAAAGGGAAGCTGAAGAGGATATGGTGTCAGATGCTTCCAACGAAGGCGAGGTCTGGGAAGACGCCAAAGAGTTTCTGTAGGAGGGAGAGGCGAATCAAGCACCATTGATCTTGGTAAAAAACAGTTGTCTATTGCTTGCTAACTTCATCAGGATGAGACCATCACATTATACAGCCTTGGCATGACCATGAATGAAGAAAAGCTGTTGCGTCCAAGCCTGCCATTTTTCTTCTCGGCGTCCTGCGGTATGGTATCGGTGCCACCTACGAACGCGAAAACTTCCAACAAATATTCATCTCTCCCGCTCTCTTCCTGGAGCCAAGCTGTTGCCCCATGCTTTCCTGTCTGATATCTCTGTGTCTGCCTTTCTACTCCCTCCTTTCCAATTATTGCTTTGATCTCATGCGCTAAATGGCGGAACCATCAATCATCTCTGCGGTTCGAGCCTTGATCGAAGCGGTCACCACGACTGCTTCCATCGCTCACATATGCTGTTCTTGATCTCCTTCTTGAAACGCGCCTTTCCCCACGCCGAACCCCCCTCGCTACCAGCTGTACCGAATAATCTCGGGAAATCCAGAATTGAGCCCCCCCCCCAGTAATTCCCTTTCCTGGCACAGATATGTAAGCTGCTTCACGTACAGCTGAGCACATATAGTAACATACGAGCGCCTGCTTGTTAGGGTTGTAAGCTCCAAAAAAGGCTCAATTGACAGTCCCTCGCTCGAAAACACTACGCTCCGGCTTAACTAACATACACTTGAATGCACATTCACGAGCTTGCACAATACAAGACTGGGCACATATGTAGGCCTGGAAAGGAAATTAGTGGAGGTAGCTAGATTCTGGATTTCACGAGATTATTCGGTAGGTATTGCTGGGATATGCACCTTCTTTACCAAAGCCCATATTTTTCAGGGTCACACGTGGCTCGAAGATCGGCCGCATCCAATCCGCTGAGCTCTTCAAGCCGTTGATGCTGGAGTTAATAAAGTCTGACCAAGAGCGCACGACATTCTTGTCACCCTGTCGCATTAGTACCAGACGTAAGATGAGCCTCGAGGTAGTACCGCCCGCACCTGAAACACTCGTCTGGCCAGTAGCAGCAGGAATGCAAGGAAGCAACCAACGTTCTTATCTCAGACAGACGAATTTCATGGCCCACGGCCTGGTGGCCATAATTTTGACCCGCACGGGCATGTCTTTGTTCAGGAGGGCATTCAGGCACGCAGACATCGGACTAAACGATGGACATTGTTATCGTGATGAGGCTTGGTTAGGTACTTTTCTTTGGGTCGATAATCGTGATTTTGGTGCGATGTGCGGATGATATTTATGGAACACAAATTGGATGTTGAATAGCTACAGTACGTCTCGTCTTTTGAATGTTCTTTCGTGATGCACTTCCCCTTTTTCACCCCTCTGTGAACCTGTGCATAGGTACCTGCGGGCGTTACTCCTCTCACTCAGCCTCACCATGGAAAAGGCGGCGCAGGGCATTTTCACTGGCGCAAATTTGCCTTGAGTTTGTTTTCCATGTTGGCAAGGTAAGGACTGTTATGATTTGGATGGCTGACTCGATCTACCTAGTAAGGACTGTGATGTAGTGCGGTACCGACACTAACGAGACGAAAAGGAAAACCCGGCCAGTATTCATCCCTCCTATCGCTTCTTAGAACCAAGCATTTCCCCACGACTCTCAGTCTGAGATCTCTGTCTCTGTCCTTCTCCCCCCCCACCTTCGAGACATTTCTTTGATCTCATGCCCTAGAGGGCGGGACCATCTTCTCTGTCGTCACGCCCGTGATCGAAGCGGTCACCGTGACTGCGATCATCGATATTAGCCTTCTTGATCTCCTCCTTGTAGCGCACATCTCCCCACGACGAATCCTCCTCGTTACCGGCTGCGTCGCTGGTATATGAAACGAGGCCGTCGTTGTTGTCTAGTTCTTTGAGCTTAATGCGTCGCTGGAGACCGGCCAACTCTACTTGTTTGACCAAGGTAAGGGTGTTTGATTTGATCAAGCTCGCTTTCGTTGTAATATCATTCTTCTTGTCAGCTGTCGCATCGTCGAGGAGGGTGTCGAGTTTGCCGGCTGCGGGAAACAAAAGGTCATCTGTTAGCTAGGGTATGTGCCCAGAGCCATCGAAAGCTCCCCCGGTCAAGAATATCTGGATTGCCTTACCAGTCTTCTCAATGCCAACCGCCGCGGTCTCCATGGTCTGAAGTCGGGTTGCATTTTCTTGATTCTCGCAGAAGCCTGCCCAATCCATGTTTCTGGCGTTGTTGAGCCCGTCTACCGCCGCTTTCAAGGCCTCCTTCGCCTTGGCGTCATTGTCCTTGAGCTTTTCTCCAATATTGGTGACAGAGTTGAAGAGAGCGTCGCACACTTCCTTGGGACGCTGCTTGAAATTCTCCTTGGCAGATGCCCCGGGCGTGGCGGAAGATGATGCCATGTTGACGTTGAGCGAGTCTTAATCGAGATTGGAAACTGGTCGTTACTCTGGGATGAGCCGGGTTTGTGAAGTTGAAGCGATGATCTGTCAACGGCTGGAAATGATGGTGATAGTCTGGAAAAGTTCATCCCAAGAACGCAGGCGTGTGGACGTGCTTTATACAAGTCCGTTGTCGGATTTCGCGACCGATTACCTCTTCGTTATTTCGCTGTTGGCCGATTCCTACTCATTGATCCCCAACGCTCCAAACACCAATCAGCCGATGTGTCGGCGCGTATGTTGTCCATGATCAGTTTCTTCTCATCAAGTCGCGGCGTTCAAGCCAACTGGGTTCGTCGTGAAGGTCGGAACGCCAACCAGCCGTCTCGACTTGTTGGAGAAGACAACCTCAAAGGCTCTCAGGCGCCAGGAAGTGGAAAATATCTTGCCGTTGAAGATTCCTTTTTATACTTTGCTTTCCACCGTGGTGTTGGCAGATTGAAATAAAGGCGGCGGTCTGTCGTCGCTTTGAAGCCTTTCCGAGATCACGGGCTCGATGCGGCCCAGGGCAGGACGATCAAGAACAGTGAAGCCGGACGGGTAGGACCATCTGATGAGCTAGTTCGTACCTTGAGCGATGATGTGAGATTTCACTGATGAGTAGTGGCAGGAATGCAAGGCAGCAGACCAACGTCGCTCTGGTTGCCTACCTCTAGAGTAATCCGGTACTTTGTGCCGCGAGGAGCAAACTTTTTCGTATAACAGACAGGAGCCTGTTGGGTACAGAGCACCTGCTTGGTGTGTTTATCTGGTGCCGCTGGGAAATCGAGCCGTTGCTGTCTTTCAGTGAGGTGGTCACGGTAGCCCGACTTCCAACAGCGGCAGGCGCTCCTGTCCTGCCCTACAGGAAGGGGGGTAGTTGATGACCTTTCGTCGATCGCCGAATCGGGGAAGGAGCAGAGACAAGCTTGATGACTGATATCGACGGGATTGTGATCATTCTGAGTTTTTAATCTGCCTGGTTGGGCAAGAACAGTCAAGGTCGGCGTGGTGCTGACACTATTATCGTCGTTCCTTTCCCCCTTTATGATTGTTTACTTTGGGTGGCTCGGCACGTTTGGTGGAGTTTCCAGTCCACTAGAAAGCCCCCTGTAGGTCCTTCCTTCTCTTGTGCTGAACTCACTCATCGACGTTGCCTTTTTGTGCAGCCACAAATCATCCAAAATGAGGCAAAAATCTCGCAGGAATAGGAGAAAGGTACGAGCTTTTCTTTTAGATGAGCTGCATCAATTCAAGAGCTTTGGAAGGTTGTTAAATCGATGAGTGACCACTGTGACTTTTGTCTGTTTATTTCCGCTGGCAATTTTTTGGGTGGTCGTGTCTTAGGGGTACATCCAACGGATCACCCCAGCCACAAAAAGATAAGACGAACTGGGCGATAGGCGACAGCTGTACAAAATACAACCACGCTAGTCGACTTAGCTCTGCGGTTGCTCTAATTCCTTGTACAGTTGCCACCAGCCACATCCAACGACGATGGTCGCATTGAAGTCCACTCGCTTTTTCCAGGTGGGGCAGGCGATTTGTCCGATTCGTCAATTCCGCCATGAACCATCCTCGTCAACGGCTTCACTTCTCATCAACCACAAACTCACTTGATGGTCACTCTGTCAGTTCTTGACAACCACTCAACCCTAGAGTTAATCAAACCTCGATCTACCATCTTTTTAAAACCCGGAATGCCATCGTGACCATGATTGCCTCAGGCCTTTGCCGCGTGGCGGCGACTACACGCGCAGGGCGACCAACATCATGGCGCATGTTCAAGTCGGCCGTCCTTGTCCACAATCCTCTTCAAATTGGCCACCACCTGGTCCATCGCATCCGCATTCACCCTCACCACCACCAGTTCCTCCGCCCAACCACAGCTTCTTCTGCTGCACAACTGGCCGTGGCCGAACAACCAGACCGTCTGGCCCTTGAAGCTCCTCTGCCTTGCTCTCCAGCCCAAATACCACAAGACAACAAGGACATTGACCAAGTAGTGTCGCCCTCCAGAGCCACGAAGAAGCCCGTCACGTTATTGTTAAGAATGGATAGATCTGAGTGGCGTATATTGCGCAACATCACAAGTATGGCCCTGGCGTGTCTCACTCGCACAAACAGGACGCAAAAAGCATCTCAAAGGACTGCGCAAGTTCTGTCCAGGATATACGACAAGCTATCCGGCTTCTACGGCGGCATGGAGGAGTATCCCAGCAAATACAGAGCTCTGGCAGCCTGTAGGACCACGGCGGAGATCGCCGGATCTGCTGCGGTAGAGGCCCGTGAAGCGCTGTGGGAAGCCGACATGAGTTATGTAAAGGCGCAGGCGGAGCTTGATTTTGCCAATTCTCAAGCGGATGCCCAAGATCAGGCACTCAAAGCCAAGCGAGCCAAACACTGCGAAGCTGCGCGTAAAGCGTGTCTAGAAGAATACACAAAGGCCAACGAGACAGTTCTACAGCCATCGGGGATTGTCCCCAGCACACCACATCCACGGCTTCGCAAAGCGAACGATATCACGAGGGAGGACTATGAGTGGATGCTCCCTGCCATTGATCAGATACTAGAGTATCGTGAATGGTCACTTGAGAAAGCCAGGCAGCAAGCCCACGCCGCCTCAGTTGCTGCTAGCAAGATGTGGAAACGTTCCCGCGAACCAAGGACAGAAACGCCAGCCATGCCAATCGAGCAATCGGGAGACGAGAGGATAGAGCAACCAGCCGAAGCGGAGGACGAGGCAGCGCAACTCAACCATGTGGAAAACATCAGAACCGAACAGCGTGAAAACGTGGTGCTCGAGCAAGTCAAAGACCTGGAACAATCCAAGGTCCCCCGGCACCCAAAATTCAAACTCGATTGGCCCATTACGAACCCCAAGTCGACCCAGCTCAGGGAGGCTCTGGCTGCTCACTACCCCATAATGCTCTTTCCACACAAGGTGAACACAACCATCGTGGAGACGGTCCGCATGCTTCTGGAGGAATCCTGCTACCGTTTTTCCCTAGCACACATCCCCCATCACCTGGCCGAAAAGAACTGGGAGTCCCCCGAAGTCGTCGAGTTAAGCACTTGGAAGCGGACATTCACCAATACCCTCCTCAAAGATCCACGCACTGTCTCGGCGTTCAAAACCACTTCCGTGCCCGCAATGCTGTGCGACTCCTACGTGCTTGAACACCTTGACACCCTCGGCCTTGTTCGCAACCTCGCAGCCCATCCTAGACCCCTGAGCCCCGGTGCGCTGTTGAGACTATTTCGCCGCGTCCGTGAGCTCGCGGGCCTGTTATCCGACCGCCGTCTGCAACAGTTAATGCACCAGCTCTCGTCCACGATCATCCGCGTTTTGGGGGATCTCAGAGTCCGCCGGATCAAAAACCTCGAGGAAGGCTGCACGCATGAACTCTACCGCCAAATCGTGGCTGACAAGGCCGCCGTGGAACGTATCCGGAACAGCCAAGCGCCGGCGTCCCAAGAGCACCAAGCCGCGTGCGTCATGTTTGAGAAGGAGATACAGCGCTTGGCGGACGCGTTACCCGTCTCTATCCAAGCGGATGAGGAGGCCATGTTTAAAGCCGGACTCAAACCGCTCATCGAGATGGTGGACGAAATGGCGGCGCAGGTGAAAAAGAGGAATGCGCAAATGCAGCAAAAGCTGAAGGCCAAGCGGAAGTTGAGCGCGGACAAGATGCTGGATGAAGTGCAATTGCTGTTGGACAAGCATGCCCGTAGGATGAGGGGCGGGTCGTTTCCATTCTCGAAGCTGTCCGAACGCGAGAGGGAGCTTCTTTTGGAGGGTTCGCCTCTTCCGCTGGCTGAACAGGAGGGACCGCAGGAGAAGCCTGAATCGCATGAGCATCAGGAGGATACGCAGCCACATGAGCAACAGGGCAAAACGACCGAGTTGAAAGATCTATCCCCCGCGCGCAGAGCGAAGATCAGGAACGCCTTGGCTCAGGGGTTACAAAAGGAGGAGCGCAAACGTGAACGCGAGCAGGCCAAGGCCGATGCTAACGCCGAAATCACGAGCACGCCTACAGAGGAGGAACTAGCTCGGTCAGGATCCGGACCCTCTTTACCAGAAGAAGAAGAAATGTTCAATGAGGAGGCTTTGAACAACTCTGAAAGCGACGACATGGATCTAGACCGCTACCACACGACTACCGGTGGGTTTTTTGAAATGTTGGAAAGAAATGAACATCTACCCTTGGAAGATTTCAAGGCGCGGGCGATGAAGGAGATGGCGGCGGCGGCGGCGGCGGAGCAGGACCGGGAAAAAAAGGCGCAAGTCGAAGTCGGAGGCAGCCGCAGCTGGACGACCAGAGATTTTGACACCAAGTTTACAGAATTCTGTCTGCCGAAGGAGCAATTGATGGGGAGGGGGGGCGTGACGGGGCAATTAGCGGGCATCGCGCCCAAGAAGCAGGTCATGGCCCTCGTACTGGAGTACCAAAGACGGAAACGGCTCTTTAGAAGGGAGATCAGAGGTTTAATGAAGGAAAAGTGGGAGGTACGTAGGGCGTTGGGCGGATTGAGTCTTGAGATGGCTCAAAAAGAAAAAGAACCCAGGAGGTTGGAGGCGGAGGCGGAGGCGGAGACGGAGACGGAGACGGGTAGTAGTGGTAGTAATGTTACCAAGATGGACGATGGGCTAATAATGGACGACGAAATCAAGAAGTTGGATATCTTGGAGGAAAGGATCAAAACCCTCGTCACGGCAAGGGGAGCGTTGAGAGACTCGTACGCAGAGACCAAGGGGAAGATACTCGACTCCGCCCGAGCCCAGGCTGCTACTGCTGTCGAGAAGAATGCCTTCATCAAGAAAAGGATCGAGAATAGGGAGAAGAGGAAGAGGAAGGAGATCACTGATGGCGGCGATGACCGATCGAACAACCGCTGAGTACTGAAGCTGGAGGATGCTGATTTCGATGGTCATTGCCGCCCTAACCCCCACCCTCTTCAAAAGGCGACTCTCGGAGTCGCCGCTCAGGATGGAGGTGTTGGTGGTCGCGTCGCCCCGGCTGTTGGCGGTAGCAGCAGCAGTAGGAGGAAGGTTACCTCACCCTCTACCAACGTCGATGTCAATGCCGCCATCATCGGTCTCATGAAATCCACCAATGTCGATGTCAATGCCGTCATCAAAAAGATGAAGGTCACCGAAGACCAGGTCCGGAAGACCAGTACGTACTTGCGCCCGGAATCACAACAAGTGATGATTCATTGGTACTGGATGGGAAAACGGCCCAATCAAGAAACTACAGTAATTCCGAGAAAGAAATCTTGGTCGGCTTGGCAGCTGGAGAAGAAGGCGAGGGCTTTGCGTCGACGCGAAGTGAAGTTGTCAGGTAAAGGAGGAAACCAAGTAGGCGAAGGAGCAGGCGACGAAGGAAAAGGTGACGGGAACAGTTAAGGCCGAACTGATGGACGAAGTTGAGGCTGAGACTAAAGAAAGCTACAAAAATAAGGAGAAGGCGATGCGGACCAACCAGAGAAAAGGAATTCTCGTCATGGAGTGAAAGAGGGGACGAAAATGGCGTTTGTAGAGAGGTGCGTGGAATATGTAAGGTATGTTCGTCTTGTCTTGTCATACTTTCGGTTTCATCTTTTCAGTTTTGTTTGAGCATCTGGTTTCTTTCTCGTGTATAGCGGCTTCCTGCATACAGTTCAAGTTTTACAGTTTGTTGTCATTTTATGTATAGAAGAACAAGGGACCAGTCCGATAGAGAGTTACAGAAAAGAGATGTTATTTGGATTGCAACATGAGAGTTGCTTGTTTGTTGAGACACGTCTGTCGGTTCTTGCATTGCTTCTATCAGACTGGCCTTCACGTCCACATCGCGTGCAAGGTGAAGTTGTGAGGTTGATAGACTTCCTGCACGCTCATGAATGATTAAACCAGTCGTCATATTAATAAAACAAGACAGAACAGCTGGTCGCCTCGATTGATGATAACTATGTCTTTACCATGCTACACCGAACATTTGCCGGTATCCCAACTATATCCCATGTTTCACGCCCCATTCTTGTTATGCCATAAACAACAATCCGAACCGAACCGCAAACTCCGAGAACACCAGGCCAGTGCCAATGCCCAAAGCCAGTATCTTATATTCCACACCATCATGACCCATCTACCTCACCGCCACCCGCAAGGCCCAAGTACCTAACCAACACTATGCGTAGCTTTATGGCCCTTGTTCCCACTTCCACTTCCATTAACCCCATTCCCATTAGCCGCCGTTCCATTAACACCCTTCCCGTTCCCGTTCTGACTCCCATTTACAGTCTCATTCCTCTTCACTCCATTCACCCCATTTACACCCCCATTAGCTGCCCCATTCCCATTCACACCCCCATTCTCCCTCCCACCCTCGTTCGTCACCTCAGCTAGTACTCCATCACCAACAGCCCTCTCCCGATCCCTCTCCCCCGCCCACCGCCACACATCCCTCCCACCCCCCTTCAAACTCCCCACATTCAACATCCCAACAAATACCTCTCCAATATCCCCAAAAGCGGCTCCTCAGCAAGTACTTTCCGATCAGGAAACCTCACCCCCTTCCCAAACTGTATTTTCCCGCTGCCCGTCCCCGTCTGCACACTCCTCTCATCCCCAACATATACCCACCGCCACCCCATCTCCTCCATCTTGACATCATACAACTTATCCGTCGGATACACCCGTCCCAACAACCGCAACTCTTTCGGCACGAAAGTAGCCAGTTTATCCTGCTCGGATTTCCCAAAGGCCCAACCCCGTTCCAATCGCCAGAGCGGGCGCCCGTCCATCCCCTTTAAAAGCGCGGGGCAAAGCCAGGGTTCTTTATCATCGGGCGCTAAACCGCCACATGCTAGACGGACGCGGACTGAACTATGTATAGTTTCGCCTGTGGAGAGTAGCGGGTGCGGCGTATCTTGGTTTGTGTCCTCGTCTACGCGCAGAAAGAGGCCGGGGCGGCGGACGGTGCGGCCCGCTAAGGTGGTGAGGTTGGTGGCGGGGTTGCGGAGGGTTCCGAGGGCCCAGGGGCGGGCGCCCAGACTGAAAAGTTGGGGGACGGAGGAGACGAGAGGGGGGTGCGAGTGCGTGTGGATGGGGTTGCATTCTGCTGTGTCGCGGAGGAGGAGACCTTTGTAGGGAGCTTGGGGAGAGGGGGAAGGGGAAGGAGAAGGAGAAGGGGAAGAAGGGGAAGCGGAAGGGGGTGGGTGGAAAAGTTCGGGTCGAGCCCAGGGGATGGCGGGGGCTGTGGCTGGGCTGGAGAGGGAGTGGGATTTTGAGTGGGCGTGGGATTGAGATTGGGAGGTGTGTGAGCGGGAAGAGGAGGTGGATTGTCGCGGGGAAATGGGTGATGAGGAGGACGGTCGAGAGGAGGATGAGGAGGGTTTGCCGATGGTGAGGAGTTTGGAGATGGTTGATTTCCCTTTTGTTAGGAGGGACTGGGCGAAGGAAGGCGGGGAGTAAGGGAATGGGTGAGCGGCGGAGTAGCGAAGAGAGTCAAGGAAGATGGAGTGCATCCTTGTGAGGTTGAACTCGACGCCGAGGGTCGACAGTTGGTCGCACATCCCTTCTCGCGGGTCAGCACAGCTTTAAGTGTAGTTTCAGGAAAAAGGGGAACTCACAAGCCAGCGTAATATCAGCAATCTGCTGATCATACCATCCTCCACCAACATTCGCATGCGTCCCCGGAAACCACACCTGCTTCAGATTCGTCTTGCTCCCGGGTAACCGTTCCCACAGAGCCGGGCGGAAAGCATACCGTGGCTCATCAAGCGCCAGCGCCTGAAACGCATGCTCAACCTTATCCGAGATCTGGGTATTGGTAAAAGCCCACTGATTAGATGACCCTCTCACGCCAATCACCGGCGCAGGCGGGATTCCCAACGCGCCGACCGTATCCCATACCCCCAGCGCCTTGATCGTGATATCCGTCTTCTTGTCGTTGAACTTATCCCGCGAATAACCCAGCTCGATCAGTCGTTCCCTGTAAACTCTTGTTCGTTCCTCTTCCCAGTCGTTCTTCTCCTGGCCCTTTTGGCCTTCGTACTCGGGTAGGTCGGGGATGATGAACTCGGTCTTGTTCCGCGAGGGAGTGCCCATGTACATATAATCGTTGAAGACGGAGTAGAACCGGTCTAGACCGTCGGGTGTGAGGATGCCGAGGGAGGCGATCATGTCGGCTGTGGAACGAGCGGTGAAGGCGCCTCGTGAGAAACCGATGAGGAAAATCTCGTCGCCGTCGACGTAGTTGGTGCAAATGAAGTTGTAGACTTCGCGGATGTCCTAGGTGGTGTTAATGAGTGAACCGAGATGAGATGAGACGGGTGAGGTGAGGTGAGGTGCGGTGAGGTAAGTGTTACCTGGTCCAGTCCCATGCCAAAGGCGCCGCCGGTGATGGAATCCAACTTGTTACTTGTTCCAACACCAGGCACGTAGGCAATAACTTGGTGAGTCCCATCATAACATGTTCGGCGCAGGACGCGAGAGATGCGAGTAACATTTGATGGTGGTTCTTCTCTGCCTTTGGTGTCAGCTTCTGGTCGCAATGAAAAGTCCATGAAACACAAACACTCACCCCCCCTTCCCTAATGAGTCCATCCACGTTCCATCACAGCATACTATAATCCGCTTTGGTTTCGCTTTGATACCGGTCTGTAAGCTAGGCGTCTCCATTCCCTCATCGTCACCTCCCATCGTGATGTAATCTGGTGTTGGAGGCGCCAGTTGCTGGTCTTTCTGACCGTTCTGACCGATCTGGCCGTTTTGGTTCGCCATGGTAAAGTATCCGTCGTCTGATTAAAGATCAGAACAATTCGATCGTTCTCAGCCCTAGATTTAAAGTTCCAAAGAAGCTCCCAAACTTGCACAAGTGACAAGATCGCGGACCGTCCCGGGCTTTAAGTACCTATAGTTCAACGTATGACGAAGTTCGGTGTAGGTAGACGTTGTCAAATCCAGCCGTGTCAGCCTGTCGGATGAAACCCTAGACAAAAGACCCAGAAGTATCAAACAGACCGCTGCTGCCCTGAAGACTTGCGGTTGGCGTTGCGTTCGCTGAACCGCTGAATCTCAAGAATTGTGGAAGGATCTACAGTGCATACGGCGCCAGGGTTCGAAGCGGAAACAGCAAGCACCCAAAAGCCCCAAGAGGATAGGCTCAGCCCTGGTTTGGCGCAGGTTTGGTGATGGAGTCCCCGGCGGTGGTGAATCCTTGGCAGGGCTTGGTTTCCACGGAGGTAAGTGCGGCTGTTACGTCGTTCGTCTGTCATTTCCCTCCGCCAAACATCCGAGGAAGGTCTTAAACCTCAGAGCAGCATTGGTCGAAAACCACCGACTTCTGCTGGGTCGCTGACAGTTTGTCTCATTGAGGACTCATCAATGGCTGATTTGATGGGTGTCTATTGGTGAGGATGGTGATCCGGATCATGTGGCGGGCACTGCCACTTTTCAGCCTCCGAGCCTTCCATGACGGGACCCATGACAATGACTCCTTGCGGATCATCTCCCGCTTGCCAGCTCTGAGAGTGCTGTGAGTTCTGCGAATGGTGGGAGTGGTGAGAAAACTGACAGGTGTTACCCCATAAGGTTCCCCAGTCTTACGCTTGGCGTAGCCTATAAACTCGTCATCATTGGGTATGCTTCACCGTGGAAGAGGGACAGCGTAAACTTGGCACATCGTGAACAACTTCAACAACTCGGAACTCATGATGGAATGACTCGAGTCGGAGTTTGTTCCATAATGGCTGGTGTTCGCCAAAACATGTTGGCAGTGTTGGATGGGTGCTGGTTACGGTTCCCGAGTCCAACAGCAATCCAGCGAACGTGAAGAAAGAAAGGGTTTAACAACTTCCTCAGTTATGTCTCAAAACATATGTCACATATCACGAACGCGGGGATCCAACCAAGACACGTAAAACCCCGAGACAGACCACCCCGGTGCTCCCCATCGTGCTTCCCACCCTTCCCGCTATCTTGTACCTCGTGCAGGATCGCAGATAAAGCTGGGGAGTGAATTACAGCTTACCATATGTCATTTCCATCCAGGGACCCTCCAGGAACCAACTGCACCTACCCTCCCGAACATCCTTCCCTCTTCATTCAACTTCCCGATTTGTCTAGTCCGAGCCAGTCATGAATGCAGTTCTTTCGGTTCGGGGTACGTAAAAAGGTCCTCGCACTATCCGACTGGCGGGTAACACCAACGATAATGCGCATAAGCATAAGCATGAGCAGCAGCGCACATGCAAGACACTGCATGCGGCGCTGCCCTTCCTTACTTCCTTGCTTCGAAGGGAGGTACCGCATTTGGTGCTTTGGGGCAAGTGACAAGTCGGCGTTAGATCCGAGTGTGACTGTGTCGACGGGTTTGCGAGCTTGGGGGGTTCGGTGAGCTATAACCGTCACCATCGCCGCGGCGTCGTTCGTGGCACCGTTAGGCTGCAGGGAATAAAAGATATGGCGGCAAAGGGGGGAAATGAGAGCTTGTGAACACAGCTACATTGAGTTTTGCTTAGATTGGATTTAATTCTAGGTTACTGTATGACAGGAACGACAACTGAGGAAGAGAAACAAAAAGGAAATATGATCAAAACCCGAGACCGAACCGACACCGACACCGAAACCGAAACCGTCTACTTGAGAATCCGCAGCGCCTCTTCCAAGTCAGCAATCTTCTTGGTCAACTCCTTGCGCTTGTCTCTGGTGCTGCGAGACTCGCCCGCGATAGCATTCAACGAGTCTTCATCCAGTCCAAGCACCCACTGTTCCGAGAAGAGTGTCAGAGGACTATTGGGACCGGAGAGAAGGTGATGATCGACAGCATAGAGCCAGATGTTGTCGACGAAGCGCTTGCGAGAGACTTTGTAGTAGCTCTTGAGAATGTCATGGATGTCCTCTTGAGCGTGGTCCTGATTGCTCTTGTTGGTGATTGCCGACTTGATTTGATCAAACTTGACTAGGTAGGTAGCAGGCGAGTGGCAGCGGTTATCGTAATGGCGCTTTCCCTTGAGGGCCTCGGAGACTCGGTCGCCACGAGATTTCTGGAGATTGCTGCTGAAGTAGTGGTTGACGGTGTAGGGCTTCTTCTCCCGCTCCACCTGGACCAGGAACTTGGCATAGTTCATGCTGTTCACGTACCTCGCCAGCAGGTCATCCATGATGATGGACTTGATGGCCTCAAAAAGCTTGCCATCCGCGCAAATTGTTTTCAGAACGGAGAGGATGAAGGTGTGGATGCCTATGATTATGTCGCTGATATAGTACTCTGTCATTGGGCCCCATTTGGTCGTTTGGTCCCGGAAAGCGCTAGCAAGGACGATGGGGCTGAAGGTTCCTAGTTCGATACCGCGAGACTTGAGGTACATGCTGCGGATCCAGTCGCGATTGTCATCTTTGACGGCGAATTCGGGTTGCTCCACGATGTTAATGATGCTCTCCAACTCGGGAAATAATTCGCCAACTATCGTGTAGTGGGCGTCGTTGCTCTGCGCAGCCTCGTACTCATCCTCGCTATCTGAATCATCCTCTTGTTCACTGTCATCCACTTTGCTCGCTGAATCATCGTCCGAATCCCCAGTTTCCACCTTCACAAAAGAGTATGTATGGCCCTTTCTTCGCATACGGTTGTTGAACGTGTCGATGATGCCCACTACTTTAGTGATAAGCCTCACGCTATGTTCATCGAATACCGAATGGGTGGAATAGTTGGCTTCGAGGGCTGCACGAACAATCCTCTGGAATTTGGCTGCAATCTGCGCAAGATATTGTTGCTGCTCACGCTCCGTCTGTCGAGGAGGTCCAAGAGCGTCTTGTTGATCCCGGGCCTCCGTGAGCTTCTTGCGTGCTTCAGAGCGAAGTTCAGGATACGCCTTATCAGTGATCTCGCCCAACAGATCCTGGAGCCTCTCACGGAGGGCACCGACGCCAACGCGCTCTTGTGGTAGGTTGCACCAGGGATTCTGTTGGAAGAGATCCTTTTCCTTCTGCCGAAGACCCGAATCATCGTCAGAATCGTCGTCATCGTCGCCACCGCGGTTCTTGACAAGGTAGTAGCCGAGGTTAAGGGCCTTTTTCCTTCCGGCGACGAGGTTGCAAACCGCTTCTTTGGCGCTCCGCTCGATGACTAGATCGGGCTTCGTGAGGACACCAAGGGTGCGTTCTCCGTCCGGATCGTATTGTTCGGCCAGAGCCAGAATCTCCTGGGTCATCACATCCACATTGGCAGGTAGGACAGCGAGAATGATTGTCCGCTTGTCCTTGATGAAGCCCGTGACCATATCTCGAACAAGATGGCGATCACCTTCTGTCGTTTGTCCCTTGGACGTGAGGCGGAAGATACCGGGAACATCGATGACAGTGAGATAATCCTCCGTCGGGCCACATTTTTCGATCTTCAAGATGTCCCTGGAGAAGGTTTTCTCTCCTTCAGGGTTCTTGTCGGTCTTGATCTTCATGTAGACATTGACCTGTGTAGCGGTTAGGAGAAGTCGGCGACAACGTGGTTTGGACACGTACCTCATCAAGAATTTTGACAAACTGGTCACGAAGTTCGTTGGTCGAGGAAAGCTCCTTGCGGTAAGATCTGAGACTGGCCTTCTCCGTCTCGGTGCTCTGAGGAGCAGGGATAATTGTGATGATGATCTGCACATCAGGATCACGGCGATGAGTGATCTGGGTTGCGTAGCGTGTGCAGAGCTCCTGGCCACGAGGGAACGGGATACCGGTAACGCTCTCGAGCAAGGAAGACTTGCCAGAGCTTTGGTCACCGACCGCAACCAGTGTAGGCAACGGCAAGATGACATCGATGTTCTTCTCGCGCAACTGATCAATCTTGCGAAGACGATCAGGGCTGGTCAGGATGCCCGAAGCAGGGGGCTTGTACTCAGAACCCATTGTAACAGGAGTGATTGTCGTGGTCTTTGACAAAAAGCGTGAAAGTGTCATCAAGATCTGAGAGTCAGATGTGATAGTCAAAGATGGCAAGAAGGAGAGAAGATCAGGTGAGAGGTAAGGTGCTTGCTGGTGATAATGCCCGTATATCGGAGGAGAAACAACTGTGATAGATGTCGTTGAGAACGAGAGTCTTGTGAATTCTAGGGAGCATCGTTGCGACCTTTATAGCATGATATGTCAGCAGCATCTTTGGGGAGTGTAGGCCTTTCGCGCTTTGTGTTAGGCAGAGTTATGCCGGAGGCCTGTCAAACAAACACTCCAACGATGTCGTCGTCCACGTAGCGTCGGTATGTTGAAGTCCGCGGGTTACGTGCATGTTGTTGCCGTCAACGATTCGTCCGATGACAAACGCCCGGCCAATGGGTGCGGCAGAGACGATGAAACTGGGGCTGGCACGATAGGCGCCGGAGAATCGTTAGGCGTTCCTCTAAGTACCACTAGGTTAGCATATTGAGAACGACCAGCACGATTGAAGGCGAATGGGAACCCAAAGCAAAGTCTATTCTCGTTGAAGGGATTCTTACGCATGTACTTCTTTCATCACACGGCTTGAGAAATTCTGGCCGGTTGAATGGTGTGGCTGAGAAGCCGATGTCCTTGGCGCTGGCTGTTCAACATTTGGCATGCCGGTCACCTCCAAAGCGGCCCGCATATTGATCTCCTGCCTTGCCTGGAACCCACAACAACTGGGTGAAGTTCGTAGTTCCAACATATGTATGCCTTGTTTTCGAAGTATTCAATTTCTCTAAGCGCTGCTATGTTCGACGGCCTCCTGTGCAGACTTGAGGAGCTTGGCCGCTCGGTCGGCCGCGATGTCACACATTGCCTGTTCGTTGGGAGGTAAGAGTCAGCCTTGCCATCCATTGCAACCCGCGAACTAACAATAGGAAGGTAGTCAACCAAAAATGGACGAAAGTAAGAGAAGAAGAAACTCACCTTAATCCCCTCCCTCTCCTCCGCTCTCAAATCCCCCCTCTCAATCCTTCTCCTCATATCCGCCATAATCTCGCTTCTCGGCCGTCCATTAACCCAAACCACATACCTCAACCCCGGGAACCTCTCCTCATACTCCTTATTGAGCCCTCTCAACTGCTCCTTCACCTCCTCGCTGTCACCCGCAGCATTCAAATGCGCCTGCTCCTTCTTACTCTGCGCGCTCAACGTCTCCTTCTTCGGCTCGCCCAGTCGCGGATGACTACCTAGTATGGCGTGCAGTGGCCTCTTGATGTTTTCCTTTTCGGGTTGGGGGACGGACGGGTCGGCGGCGGAGACGGCGACGGCGTTGGCGATGGCGAGGAGCTCGTCGCGAAGGGTGGAGATCAGGTCCGGGTAGGAGGAGAAGGAGATGGTGCGGAGGGTGGGAAGGGCCAGGGCGTGTAGTTCGGGAGAGGGTTCGAAGAGGAGGTCGAGAGTCGAGATCAGGGCGGCATCGGGGAGGGTGGGGAGGGAGGTTATGGAGGGGAGGAAGGGGGTTGCTTCGGGGTTGAGCTCGTGGACGTGGGTGTGGGACATTGTGGCGGTTGTTTTCGAGTGGTATTGCTAAGGTAGTTGAATCTAGTCAATCGAGCAGCAGCAAGAAGAGAAGAAGGAGGAGCAAAGACGACACCTCACTGTAAATGTTGATTGTCCGGGAGTTGTCCCTTATCACTCACTGTAGGTGGTAGCGGACGCAAGCGCCATCAGCATCGGTAGCATCCGACAAGGTGGGGTAGATCTGCCATGACGTCCGCGCAAACGTGGGGTAGCTCTCGGCAGCTCCCTGCAGTGGGGCACCGGCTCGCTGGACCGGACCTCGGGGCCCTCTCACCCCTGTATTTCAGGGGACCTCCGTAAATCCCGGCGGGTCGTCTGGATTGTCCCGTAAACTTCCACAAGACTTTATCTTTTGTCTCCGAAGCGCGATCCGTCAATTCCTCGCCAGTCCTCCCGCGACATCCGTGTTCGCGACACTTGAAACATCGCGAAGCTGAACCTCTAAGCGAAGACCATCCCTTGTTCTTCGGTCTGCCTGTTATCGGCGTTCCCGCCAAGGCTGTCAATACCATCGGCCGGAGCCGCGCGAGCTGTGTGCCGGAGGCGGAGGCGAGTCGCGAGTTCAGCCGGAACAGCACCAGGGAGCAACCGCCTGAGATTGACCGCGTGTCTCCCCGAAGCGAACGATCGAGAGAGAAACCGGCAAATTTGGGTTGCCACGGGAACTGCCTGGACTTAGTGACATCGCGAATCAACAAGGGAAGTAAACAACCCGGTCACTGACAAATGCCATCGTTTCTTTGTTTCTTTTGTTCTGTGTTGTGGTTTGTTTTATGTAACCTTCCACGTGTAAACCGCGCTCTTGAAAACACTATGTCCTCCTCAAGTTGTTGCATAGTAAATAACAAAGTGCTCAGACAAGCAGACCAGAATACCACTTCCGATTTCAGACAATGCCGCTCGGTCGGTCGGCTACAACGGACTGCCGCCCTCCCATGACTCCTACCGTAGCTCGTACCACGACTCCCGTCTCATCCGTACTCTCATCCATGCCAGGTCAACAGGTCAACACCTAGCCCCCCAAGGAATCCCATCCAAATCATCCAACCCCAAATACTCCTGCTGCTCACCAGGCATTTCGCCAGACAAGTTATTTCCCTCCAAGTCCTCGTCGAGGTCGTCACCATCACTTCCGCCGAATAACACCCCAAAGTCTGCATACACTTCGTGCCCTTCTTCCTCCTCTTCGCCTTCATATCGACTTTCGTGCGCGGAAGTTGGGAAGGCGACGTCCTCGTCGTCAAAGTCTTGGTCGTCTATGGGTCGAAGGTCTGGTGAGCGGAGGGGGTGGAGGCGGGGAGAGGGTGAGAAACGCCGTGGCGATAATGTCGTTGAAGGTGTTGAGGGTCCTGAGCTGGTTGCAGTGTTGGTGTTGGTGTTGTTATGTGTCACTGGCGGTGGGAATCCCGTCACTGGCGCGTGTTGCCCTGGTTGCCCACTAGCGTGGGCCTGGCCTGAAGGAAGCCGTGGACTTGTCCCACATCTCGCCATGGCTACGCCTCCCACATTCCCGCCTCCGTTTCCCGCAACCTGCCCTTGCCCGGAAGCCTGTGCTTGTACCTGTGCAGTCTGCTGTGCCTGCGCTGCCTGAGCTCTCGCCAGATTCTCGCCCAACATCCTCATCCGAAATCGATTCATAACCGCCATCTTCCTCAACCACGCCGAACCTCCATTTCCGCCCATCGCCATCACATTTTGCCCAGCAGCAGCACCAACTCCCCAACCAGCCATAGCCATTCTCCTATTCGCCGCTGCCGCTATGCTTCGTAGCCTCTTATCTCCCTTGAGGATCGATTCCCGGTTGAGAATGTGCGTAGCTGGTAAGGAAAAGGGACGAGAAAGCCGGGATGTGACGAGGTGTAAGCGCAGCCGACGCTTCTTGCAGGATAGGGGCGCGGTGTTGTGGCCGTCTACGTCTGTTGATGGGCGGGAGCGTTTGAGGTTGAGCCTGCTAGGGAACAGTGGTGATGCTACTAGGGCAGCAGCGGCAGTGGTATTCAAAGGGAATGTGAGAATGTGATCGGCTGTTGGGTGTATCTGGGTGAAGACCCATGGTGAGGGTGTTGGTTGTGGCGTTTGGAGTATTGTTGGGAGAACCTCCGGTAAGGCGGTGCTGACGGATGTCGAATTTTCTTCCTGTTGTTCCCTTTCGACAAGAAGCGAAGGCCGCGCCGTCTTGCTCTTACTCCCCTCCGCCCCAGGTCCTGCAAACCGTTCGGAAAATGCGTTCGAGATGAGCGCGGCCCCCTCACCCCAACCGTACCGACTAGATCGAACATCGTGGTAGTGCCATGGTCCGTATTGCTGCGCGAAAGGAGACGATCGACGAGGCGGTTCTAGCGAGGATTCGACTTGGATCCCCATTGCACCGATCGGCCCTGGCGTCTGCTAAAGAAGTTCTGAAGTACTTCTTGTTGTTCCCGCTTCCTTCTTGCTGTTGCTCGTGCTCACTCAAGAACTGAACTGAAACTTCGTATTATTCCCAATGCGCAGCCTACTAGCAACCCGCAGCCAGACCTGCACTTCACTTCCACGGTGATACAAACGGGTTGATCGTTAATGGTCCATTTTGACTTCTTGCTTTGCTTTCGGTTAAGATTTCGGTTTGGTAGAGATGACAGGTTTTCGGGTGTTCAAGTATTTGGCAGGTACGAACGAAATCGGGTATGGAAGAGGAAGCTTCATCACCGAACACACCGAATCTGACAGAAAGAGCAGATCGAAGGAAGGAAGGAAGAAAGGAGGTAAGCTGAAACTTGGTTGTTCTAGAACGATGGGACCCTTCCTTTTTCTGTTCGGTTTTATGAACCGAGATGATGACGGGAACCTGGTGAGGCCAACTTCAAAGTTGGATGGAGGCTGAAAAGCAAAAGAAAGGCTTGTAAAAGAAGGTGGTGTGCCAGTTTTTCGGAAAGGTCCGAAGGGTTTGTTGGTTATGTATGAGAGTCCCTGAGGCGAAAGGTAAGCTCGTAAAGTAGGTGAGAGGTGAGAGGTACAATGACACAAGTTCCAATGTCCGTCCAATGTTCCGCCGCAGTAGGTCGGTTAGAAATGCGCAAGTGGCGTTGGCGTCTTCAGAAAAAATGCGAGAAGGGGGGGAGCGAAGAAGAAAAGCGTTCAGTGCATTCGACAACAAGCCCCTAGTGGTCGCAAAAAAGATCCTCGAGATTGAAAGATGATTGGATCATCCGAGGGCTCAGGTGACGGGAAATCTCTGTATGTACGGGTCTACTGTACGTTTGTGTGTAGCTCTGAGTAGGAGTGAAAAAGGTAAGTGCCTTGGTGAGAGGGGTAGCACTCGAATGAGGCGACCAGGTCTCTAGAGGGGAGGGGGGAGCTGACCCAGCAGGATGGAAAGCCGAAGGACAAGATTCCACGAAACCTGGATCGATAGTATAAGACTTCGGAGCATTCATCCATCCATTGAATGGAGGTTTATGGAGGAATTTCATTCCATTACGACGACGGCATGACCTCTCTGTGTAGGGCGGTGAAGCTAGCAACAGCAGCCCTAGCTATGTCAACCTAGCAATTGCAAGGCCTGCTTGTGAACCACGAGGAAGAGACACGAGAGGGTAACACGACATGGGCACCACGATGAGAAAAACGTTGGGGAAAGAGCCGGGGTGCAGGTCAGCTAACAGCAGGGGAGCTGATTCACAAGCTGAATGGTTAGCACAAGGATGACGGGCTAGAGCCGAGATGGAAAAGAGTTCGTTCGTTCGGCGTCGGGACTGGACTCTTTTTTTTTTAATCAGCGGTCGGTAGGCGGAGAGTACCGAAAGATGATGATGCACACTCTGATTGGTGCGTATATAGAGCTGTATGTCGGGTCGGAAAGGGGACGGGCTGGAATGGCTGTGGACGGGAGAAGGAAAAGAAAAAGTGAGAGTGAGAGAGAATTTGCTTGGATGACTGGCTGGCGTCGCAGTTGGTCAGGAGGGCAAATGACCTTGTGCAGTCAGCAAAAGTGTGATGCAGATGTGCCACGGTTTCTGGAGCTGTGTCGGTGTCATCCAGGAGTCTGGGGTAATATGGTAGTGCTGGGCTAGGTAGGCTCGCTAGGCGTGTGTTCCTGGACAGACCGGACAACCTAACCAAAGACCTCAGTTTGCTTTTTGTCTTTCGAGGTCAGCTTCTCCTATTCTTGAGGTTTCACGATTTCACCTTCAATATTTCTTCTGGTGATGACCTATTTTCCAGTGTTCCCCAAAGACATTTCGTCCTACCAGTCTGCCAAGTGCCAAGTGCCAAGGCGTCCCCTTATTGTCCTCCTGAGAGTTGTCTGAGGTCGTTCAACATTTGATGTCGTCTCATACACTACCTACAGCACATCGTGCTACCAAGACGAAGCTCAGCTTACTTTCAAGTAGGTAGGTATAACATGAATCCTCTGTTCGCAGTTACCAATCCTCGGTGTTACATACAGTGTACCTTTGTCGGAATAAACATGAGAGTGTCGACCCAAACGGTGATCACGCGGCCCCAACATTGGCTGATTCCCCCTTCCATCCCTTCCTTCCTCGGTGCCCAAATTGGTACAAGTAGTAGGACTGTCACTCCACGTTATTCGGCCCTCTCATTGGCTCTTTTGGTGTTTCGACCTTTAATTGACCATTCCCGGCTCAAAAGAGAACATCAGCTGCATAGAAATTGCTAAGCCTTTTAGAGCTTAATTCAGGCCGGTGATTAGGTATAGCGATTACGAGCATTAGCTAGCTCCAGAGCCATGAAGCCATTTCTCAGATGTCACCGTTCTCACGAATGCCCGGGTTTATACTTTCTGTCCGGGGTACGGGGGCCCCTGTCTCAAATACTCAAACACTCAGTCGCACAAAAGTCTTTCCGTCCCAACAAACGCTGTTTGTGATAATTGCTCGTCGTTCGGGTTGTGTCGGCTATTGTTCCTGTTATAGGCAAGGAGTTCGGCTTCCTTTTTGTCGGTACAACGCATTCCCAGGTCCATAGTCGGTCGGTCTTCTGCACTTTCTTTCCCGTCGTTATATTCCTCATCACCGATAATGCTTTGACGAGCAAGGTGAGTCAAAGATATCGACGCTGAGCCCAGTCGTTTTTGTCATTGATGCAACCGAAAAGCTGTTCAATAACAAACCTCAAGGCTTCGGTCCAAGAGCCGGAGCGGGTTCGATGCGCCCAGCCGCGGAATCAACTCCGTTCGTGTTGTGCCATTCGAGTGCTTGAAGCGAGCAAGACAGCGATCGTTTCGGCTCCACGGTAGCATTCATGTCGGACCCTTACCGGTTACCACGACGTTGGGATTCCCTCCACTTTCCGACAACGCCCCTTTGTTTATGCTGGCAATTGAGGACTCTCACGAATCCGAATAATTCATGTTCGATTTCCAATGGAAGCTGCTGTCACTTCAGAATATTGCGAGCCTCATATTGATGCTCCCGACGAAACACCAGAACACACCAACCCCATCTCCATCACTCCCATCTGTACCAGACTCCCAAGACATCCGGAGAGTTCTTTCTACTCCCGTTCCCCCAACTCGCCCAGCTCCTTTCAGGCCCTCAAGCCTCGGTCTTGCCATCCACACGCCCAAAGAAACCTCAAAAAGAAAAACTTGCGGTTGATTCAAACTTGAAACCGTAGAACATTCCAAGACCAGAGGTACAGTATAGGCGAGGAAGAGGCCCTTTGCATCGACATTGCATCTTGACAGTTCATCACCGGTCTCAGCTTGACCACGTGAGGTCTTGAGGTCGATCCAAGACCCTGAAAGCCGCTCAACTGGAGCGAACCAGACTTCCAGTGTGATGGAACCCCCGCATGCTTCAGCGGCCCAGCTTTCTAAAAGGGGAAAGAAGAAACGGGATGCGTCGTCTGTGCCTTAACGTGGGCGAGAACCATGGGACGAGGCTCTTAGGCTCCTGGGGTTCTCCATGGGATGATGTTTCCAGGGTAGTCGAGCTGCTATTTGATGCATGAGGGTGGGATTAAGTCCGCCACTCGGAGATGGTGTCATGTAGTCAAATTCTGACTCGCTGCTTGAGGTGTTGAGGAAGGACGCCACGGAGTCACCTCGCCTGGTGAACGTCAAGTACCTACCTCTAGGTACGAAGCCTTTGTAGGTGGTCGTATAGATGTGAGTAATGTGCCTGAGATTGTGTTAGTGGACGTGCAGGTTTCCGTGTCTTGAGCCTCTCAAAAAAAAAAAAAAAAACGAAGTAGCGACGGGATGAGAATGTGATAGCGACGGGATGAGAATGTGAATCCTTTGTAAAACAAGCTCACGCACTCTCATGAAAATCTATATCTCTAGACGAAAGTCTACCTCTCGCTCGCCATCCAAAACTCCAAAGCCCGAATCCCAGATGCAAATGCAAAGTGCTACTTCCCAATATTCATCCTACAACTTCGGATTCCACTTTGGCTTCTGCTCCTCCTTCTCAAAGCTCCTAATCAGCCCATCCTGATACTCCGTCGCGACATGCACACCCCCAGGACTCCAAACCTTACTTTCCACAATGCCCCTCCCCGCTCCAGCCCTAGGGAACCAAGCTTCCTGAATCCACCACACGCCTTCACTTTCCCCATCCGCCTTTCCTTTCGACCTCGCCTCCCAATCCGGGCTTAAGTCCAAGTCAGTCTCCCGACTCCCATACCTCATCACACACTCCTCCACATTCGTATGAAAAACAATGCTATAACTCAAACTGGCCGCTTTCCCCAACGTCCAGCCCATTCCAAGATGATTACACGCCATCAGCAGCCCGTTGCGATCAACCACATACGCATGGATCACCGCGTGATTATTCCCTTCCTGTACCCCATCCCCACCCCCTTCGCCATCGCCATCAGAAGAAGGTAACGGTTTCAACAAGCGATACAACAAAAGTTCCCTTCTCTCGTGAACCGGCTTCCCCTCGTTGTAAGAGGTCATATCAACCTTTCTCATCTCCACGATCGGAAACTCGCCGATTACATCCTCCCCTACTAAAGCTCGAACGCCGTCGATGTCTACTGGTGGAGCAGGTGGCCAGTCGGTTGGTTTTCTTGAGGCTAGGATGTCGCGGAAGCGGATTTGGGGAGGTGGTTCTTGGATGGCGATTCCTGCGGAGTGAGGCTCGGAGGCTTTGAAGGAGATTAGGGCTGTGAAGGATGGTGTGGGGGATAGGGTGAGGGATGCGTCGGAGAGGGGGAAGTGAGGGAAGCGATCGGGCCTTTCTTCTGAGGATGGTGATGAGGACTCCGAGGAGGGAGAGGACTCGGCGGTAGATGCGGTGGAACGTAAAGAGGGCTGGTAAGCTGTGACGGACAAGGTGCTGAAGGAGCGGGTGGATGTTAGGGGCGTGGCAGAGTAGATGAAGGGTCGGTGGCGGTTTCCTGCCGCGGTGAAGAAGCCGTGGATTGTCTACAGCTGGCTGTCAGTACATGATCGTTTGGAGAGGGATGAGGGGGAACGTACGTGAAGTCCGAGTTTTTGAGACTTGGGAATTTTATTCTGATCTTCGATCCCACCCCAGGTTCTACAAGCTGCTAAGGCACTCTGGGCGTAGACGTGGCCGCCGTAGGCTGCAGTGTGAAACGACGGCATCTCTTTTTCTGGTGGGTAGTCGCATCCTGGAAGGTAGGCGGAGCGGGTGCCGATGAATCGATATTGGGAGTTTGAGTCGGGTGGAAGTTTAACAAGCTCCAGTGCCTCTTGGAAGGAGAGGAGCTTGTCATATTCTGAGTCTGACATTTTGGTGTTGGAAAGGGACGAGTGTCCCGGTGCTGAAGCTTGGATGGGGACTCTGATGCTGTGAGGATGAAGAAAAGCAACTCGTGATATGAGGTCAAAGTGAAGAAAAGACAACAAGAACTTGTGATAGATGGGATATGAAAATGACGAGTGATTGTGGTAAGTTACACAAAAATATATCAATGGCACCTCAATATCAATCACCTCGCGGAAAAGACACCCGGATGTTTGTGATATTTCAGCTGTTTTAAACGGCCGAGTCGGCTTCGGTATCTACCAAGCTGACGATATGCAGACTCCCGCGCGGGAGTGGATGGAGGGGAGCGAAGCTTGGCTTAGCTGAAGGAGGAAGTGCCGAGGCATCTTTCCACGTGATGAGACGGCATCATCACTCCGGTTGGCGGTTGAACTAAGGAAGATCTCCGCTAACACACTTGCGGCATGGTGCCGTCCCGAGTGAACGAGGGTCAATCCGTGGCTCCACTATCGAATCCGGGAACCGGATGGAGGCCGGAATCGGGGCGGGATGCTTGAAGGTGGAATCCGGAATCTGTTGACCGGGTGGGTCACGACCGGTGCGCGCAACAGCCGGGTGGGGTCGAAGGCGGTACGTTATTTGCACATGTACCCTTTATCTCTCTCATCCATTCGGGATCACAGGAACGGAATAAGATGAAACGCTGGTCTTGAAAGCAGATGTTTCCAATTCGTGAGTTGGTGATGTTGCTTGGTGTTTTGGGTTTGTCGTTCTGGCTGTAAACAATGACGACATGACTAAAGTGAGGGTTAGGGTCATGCTTGTAGCTTTGCAAGAGCTGTTGAGAGCTTCTACGGGCATGTAGTTCAGCTCAACCATTCGGCACTTTGTTCCATTCTTTTGTTCAATTAAACCCTTGAGATACTCAGAAGCTCTCCAACCTTGTGTTCATCTTCATCTCATCGTCGGTTTACACCACATTCGATGAAAGTTGCACAGCTTGATGAGATGAAAGTTCCCACGTGTCGTATCACCTGACCCCAAACTAACTGCTTCTGGCAATCACCTGGGCAAGCTTTCCAAAAGATGGCCCAAGCGTCTTTTACACGACACAGCAACCAACCGTTCGCCAGTTGCCAGCGGCAGAACGGACAGAAGGGCAGCAGTCACCCGCAGTCGGTGCGTCGGGGCCTCATAGGTACCTAGCTGTGGGACCAGTGTGGGCAATTGGACTCCAGCGGATTCGCTACTGCTGAGCAAAACCAGCTTCGGATTCCCGAGCGCAAGTCGACCAGACAAAACATCATCTCCCGCCTCTCCGCTCTCTCCCGCTTTCCAATTGTCACTCCGACATCACACCACCACATCCACCACCGCCGCCCGTCGTCACCATGCTGTCCCGCACCGCCGTCGCCGTCGCCCGCCGGGCCACCGCTGCCCCCGTTCTCCGTCGCAGCATCGCCACCACCGTTGTGCGCCGTAAGTCACCATATCTGAATACTATCTAGCGGGCTGCCGCCTGAAAAAAAGCTACGGGCATCGAAAAAAGCTCCAATCGCGAAGCTGCGAAATATCCGCGCAAAAGCATCATCACCGTCACCACCAACGACGACATCATAACCCCACCACGAACAATTTCGCGACAACACCAACAGAACACGCAATCAATTGCAACCCCGAATACCGATCGAAACACTGACACCATGTTTTTATCTTGAACCACAGGCCACGCCGAGACCAAGGTCCCTACCGCCCACATCAAGGGTCTCTCCGGTATGATGATCTCTCTCCCCCGGCGACGATTGCGTCACGATTGAGTCTATTCGGAATGCTGGGAAACTGGGCTACGCGAACTGGAAGCTGTTGTGGGGTCTATCGAAGCTTGAGCAAAGCTTGGATAAGCTTTGGGAAGCTTTGAAACAACAATAAGGGGGAACAGGCATTGGGCGGCCAAGGGAAGGGGGTTATCATTGCGAATGACGGGAGAGGAAGCTCGGCCTGCTCAAGCTCGAGGTTTCCCCCCTACCCATCACAGCTTCCACCGGGTAGCTCAGTTCAACCCAGCCCAGCAGCTCCCATAGCTCCCTCGCTCGCTCGCTCACCCCATGACGAATGCGGGGTGACGTACGAACCGCATACGACGCAAAAAGCATGCATGACTAACTTATACCTTTCTACCTTTTTCGCGACAAACAGAGATCAAGACCAAGGAGGACCTCTTCGGTCCCGGTGCCGTTGATGGCACTGTCCCCACCGATGTTGAGCAGGCCACCGGTCTCGAGCGTCTCGAGATTCTCGGCAAGATGGAGGGCGTCGACGTTTTCGACATGAAGCCCCTTGATGCCTCCCGCAGGGGTAAGACTTGAAGCCCGGGTTCAAAAGGAGGAACTTGAGAAAGATGCTGAGACGACACATCACAGGCACCATGGAGAACCCCATCTCCGTCCGCTCCGCCGGTGATGAGCAGTATGCCGGTTGCACTGGCTTCCCTGCCGACTCCCACAACGTCATCTGGCTCACCGTGAGTTTTCTCCTGTCACCCCTTTTCGCACCCCCTAAGGCGAGCTGCTGACACAAAACAGATGACCCGCGAGCGCCCCATCGAGCGCTGCCCCGAGTGCGGCAACGTCTACAAGATGAACTACGTCGGTCCCGAGGACTCCCACGACCACCACCACGACGACCACCACCACGGCTTCGAGGAGCCCAAGACTTTCGCCGACTTTGTCAAGCCCCAGTACTGGTAAATTTCCTAACCAGTTGGGTTGGTAAGGGAGGTTTCCAGAGGCTTAGTGGGTTGTTAATAGAAGACATTGAGAAATACGATGCATGCATATGAAGACTTTCAAGAGGGGCGCGGGCCGCAGTAGGGAGGCATTGTGACTACAGGTTGCGAGTTTTGAGTATAAAGTGGTCGAATAACTGACAGGCCATGAGATGACGAACAAGAACCTGAGACTCTTTTATGAAACCTAGAGTGGTAGAGTTGTAGAGTACAAGTAGATGTGACCTGGAAATACTACTAAAGACGAAGTTGTATAGATTTCTCTTTTGACCTATCTCAGGCTTTGGATATTGTAGAGCACGCTCCAGTAAGCGCAGCACGCGGCTAAATGATCATCCACAGAGACATTATGACCTCTGGAAGTAAGCGCATGTCAAACTCACAGGCTCCGACCAGGCTGCGTCCGTCTTCTATGCTCCATAACCCGGAACATGTAGCGGCTCTTTGGAGCGTCGGTACCGCCTACGTAAGGGTGAGATATCGTGACCCCAATCATCCGCTTATCAACTATCCCGGTTTGTGCCTTTAACCACAATGGGCCTGCCTGGCAAGATCTCCTCGGAACATCAAGCCGACTTTCAGCCCTTACTCAGCACGCCCCTTTCCATGTTCGTAAACTCCCAATCCCCTTATGCTCTTATCCTCGGGGCGAGATTCAACCCTCCTCATCACCAAAGCTAAGCTTGATCTTCTTAGCTTTCTTCTTGGTCGCCTTGGGTTTTGGTTTCTCCTCCTGTGTCTCTTCAGTCTTTCCGCTGTCCTTGTCTTTGGCAGCTGTAGCATCTGACTTTTCGTTTGGCGCCTTGTCATCTCCATGTCGCTCTTGATCCGAATCAGCATCACCACCACCAATAACTTTACCCACCTTCCTTTTCTTACTCGCTCCTATCCCCACGTTTTTCACCTGTTCCTTCTCTTTCCCTTTCCCATTATCTTTCCCCTCTCCACCCTCAACCTTCTCATCCCCAACCCCTCCCTCTCCACTCCCACTTCCACTCCCCTCCCCCTCCTCTTTTACCGTCCTCTCCTTTTCAGTAACAGTAACCCCATCCTTCCCCACCGTCATCGTATCAAGCACATTCCCCTCCTCATCCAAAATAAGCGGCGCATCCTCCGCCTCCTCACTCCCGCTCCTTTTTTTGCCTGTCGGTCTTCGTCTAGCAGCTAATATTGGGTCTGGCCCGTCAAAGTTTCCAGGAGCGTGTTGGGCATGAAGGCGCGCGAGGAAGGGAGGAAGGGTTGCTGAGCGGTCGTAGTGCAGGTTTTTGGGGTTGATTTTGCCTCCTCCTGAGCCGGACATTGTAGCTCGTTTTTGGTTCGGTCTTGGGTATGTGTTCGGGAGGTAGTGTGGACGAGGAAACGGTTGTTTGGTCGCACGGAGTATTAAAAGAGGAGGACGAGCTAGGTTTCGTTTGTGGTGGATAGCCGTGTGAGGGAAGTCCGACGGTCGTATAAAACGCCGGATCTAGATCGTTGTGGCCTCGAGAGTTTGAGGAGAGTTTGCACTTGTGATGCGCCTGGTGGTTGTCGCGTTGCGCTGCTCGGTAGGTAGAAGTTGCGCTGGTTCAATGGAAGGTTCGAAGGACCTGTAGTTGTTGTAGAATGGTGTCGGGCGAATGTTCGAGGGATATAAGTACTATAGAGGGTACCAATTGGACCGGATGTTGAGTGAGATCTGACGAAGTGACGGTGACACGACAACTTGCGACTGGAACGTTTGAGACCTGGAGACCTCGACGGTCTGGTCCACTGGCAACGGATCCACTCAGCCGCTGGAAGCTTTGACCACCGGCACTGAAAATGCGGGGCCGTCTCAAGATCGGCTCAGCCGTTAGTGCAACCTCTGGGGAAGCTTGCTGTGCAACACCAAACCTTAACAGCGTCGCATCGCCAGCCACGGAACCGAAGTCTGAATGTCAACTTCAACCTCAACTTCAACCTCAACTTCAACCTCAACTTCAACCTCAACTTCAACCTCAACTTCAACCTCAACTTCAACCTCAACTTCAACCTCAACTTCAACCTCAACTTCAACGTGATCTTCAACTTCGAGTGCATTGGACTGTCAAGTTCAAGTGTAATGGCATCAATACATCATCATAATATACAGTTCAAGACGAAACCCATTCCAAATCAGCTCCTCTCCTCCTGCGCTCCATGTCCTTTTCCCAGTCCCTTCTCCAAATCAACATCATCTTGTTGAACCGCTTCTTGCTGTTCCTCTTCCATTTTCTTCTTCCCTCCGGCTTCCACAACAGTCACCACCCCCTTTGATTTCAGCTCATACCCAACCTGATCCACCCTCTCCTGCTGCTGCTCCTGCTCTTCCTGATGCGTCGTCCCCGAATTCTCACTACTCTGACTCTTATCACTCTTAAACAGCCAACTCTCCTTCAACTCCCTCGGCATATTCCCCTGCTGGTTTACCATCCCCATAGGCAGTTGATCCCTCCCCGACCTCGGCACATTATGATCATTACTATCGTGAACCTTAACACGGAACCACCCCTCGAGAATCCTCTTAACAGGCGGCCAGGGCGCCACGTGGAACCGGAGGAACTTGGAGAAGCCCGGGACGGAGGCAACGATGACTGCTATGTTTGCTTCGACGGATCTGTTTTGTGGTTTTCAGTCAGCATCACTCTTCGAGGTCCGGTCCTCTTTCCGCTAGAGGTAGTAGAAAGGGGATGATACTCACACAGAAATAACAACAGCCCCCGTACTCCACATCAAATCAACCGTACTCCCTTCCTGCTTAACCTTGAAAACACAACTGACGATACTAGCGACAATCCCCATAGCCGCCGTCCCAAACACCGCATACACTTTCACTCTTTCCCTCCTCTTCTCCGTCTTCTTGAGACTCTCTAAGGACCCAATAACCGGCCACGGCAAACAAAAGATATACACATCCAGCAAGATAATCAGCGCCGCGACGATAAAACCCGTCTTGATCAGTTTCCCGGGAGCATCCTCGGCTTGAAGCGTGGCCAACGAGTCGAGGTCGTCTTTGTGGCCGATGCCCATCCAGAGTGTGGCGTAGACAAAGGCCGGGAAGTAAGCTGCGAAGTTCAAGAAAAAAGCGAGCCAGATGGCGAGTTTCATGCGGATAGAGGTCATGGTGAAGAGCTGTTTGTATAACAACAAGATGGAGAGTTTCGAGGGCAAACAGGCTAGGGAGGAGAGGATCACGTAGGTGGCGTAGCTGAGACGGAGGTAAGTCGCGTTGAGCTAGCAGAGGGGGATGTCGTATTGATGGCGGGCGTAGTCGTGGTAGCCTTTAGTGTTGCGTTAACGTCTTTTCTTTTCTATCTCCTTCTTATTTCCTCAGAGTCGGTGGAAGAGGAAGAGGACAAAAGACATACTATTGACACCTAACTCCATGCCAATCATGCCCACGAGCAGAATCACGCTCACCATCGACGAGTAATCAGCCGCTTTCCACATCTTCCGATTGGCAATCAGTCTCCCCACCGTGAGCACCAGGGCGGTAGGACAGAGGATGAAACAAACGGCCATTAACCCCGGTTTAAGGCTCGGAGGGTCGACAAAGTTGAGAACTTTGCCTTCTGGAGGTGTGCTGCCCAGGATGGTGCACATGTCCGTCCCGGGAGGGAGACCGTACATGGTTGGGTCTGGCATTTTGTTGAGCCGTCCACTTGGGAAGGTGGTTGTGTGAAGTCGGTTCTGGGTGGTGAACTGGTGATGGCTTCACCCTTAAGGTGTTGAACTAGGACGCTGAAAACTTGAAGAAGCAACAAAAACCCGGACTAGCAACTCGATAAAGTGTGGGTTCACAGCCAAGATATACTTCTCAACTCTTGTCTCCTCCCGTCACTATCCCCTTCAAAATGAACGTGAAGAAAAGCCTCTGCCGGCGTCTAACCCACATGGCGTCCTCCAATTCTAGAACAGTATCCCCTCTTCTTGGCCCCTTCGTGGAGAAACAAACAAACAAAGAAAATCACACACTGGTAGCGGTTCCTGTTTCCATGATCGGCTGATCTTGACCTTCTTCCAGACCGAGCGATCCCCGTTTAACCAAGCTCAACGTCTGATTGAACGCCACATTTTTGTCGTCGCCATCATCGCTGTTCTGCAGCTCTGTCGTACTGCGGGAGTCCTCAATCGTTGAAACCTTCAAGCCACGTTCTTGGGAACTGGGGGATGAACAAGAAAAGCACCGTCGTGCAATTGGCGAGCGGTGCGATCCATTCCATGTGGGAGGAAGACAGTTGGCAGAGGCCGAAAATAGGGATGTAAAGAGGTTGCAAAGGCGTGCATTTCTCGTCATGATCAGCTCGTCTCCTACTTAGATATGGGTTAGTTCAATGGGCTGATTGCTTATAATGAGTTCCAGCCTCCAATACTTAACGTACGGCGCATTTGAAATAACTTTTGTGCATAGAAAGACGCGCGTGTGTGGCAGGAATTGCTGGCAAACAATTCTAGCGAGGCCTAATACATCTATATGAGGAATGGCGGGGAACGGTGTGTTCCGTATGTACCTATTAAATGCCGTTCATTGCTGCATCTTCCAGGCCGGGGAAGCCTTCCTCGACAGTTGAGACACTGTAAACCCCGGATAATGGTGTCGAATTTCTGAATGGTTGAGATCAAATGCAGGTATATGCAGGTGAGGTTGGGCGACTTTGGAAGGGTTTTAAGTAGATGCTGCAATGCGAGTGTCATAGGACGTGTGATCTTCATGGCAAACAATAAGAATATAATTAGGTAAAGACGTTCGGAATGTGAGGATATTGTTTCAGGGGAAAAGCAGGCAACGGCCATTATGCACGGCACCAGATGAGGGAGAATTCCATATGCTATATGCGCTGAATCGCGATAGTGACCGCACATCGGTTTTGATAAAGGAGAGACGAGACCACGAAAAGGGAACGTGGAAGGCAGTCACTGGCACCTCCCTTGATGTTTTGAACACAAACCCAAAGCTTCGTAGTCGACCTCCCAGCCTTTTTCAACCAGAATATCCTTCTGACTCCTGCTCAGAATAGGGGCAAGATGCCATGGAGCCCATTGCGGCCAATGCTTCTCTGGCAAGTGCTGTTGGTGATGGGACAGCGATCGTGTTGAACGTGTTGACTTGATTCAGCGGGTTGAAGTGATGACCACTGGTAGTCGACTGAGACCCAATATCCAAACTTCTACCAAAGCCATTGTCACACTGGTACCCGGTGGGGTAGCTATCGTTGGAGGTGTAAGACGGATACTGTTCAGTACCACCAAGGTACGACTGAAGAGCAGGGGAGTATGTGATGTTCACACTGTTCGTTGGCATACCCTCATAACTCCCATAGTCACCAGTATAGTTGTAGTGGCCGGGACCGATGAGGAGTGCTTCTCCCTGACCGTAGACTGGAGAGAGGTCGGAATGAGCGAGTTGTTGAGCCGGCGAGATGGAAGCACTGGCTGAAAACTGCCCATGGTCGTCCCGTGAAGAGGAAAGGGGAACATGGGCAGTGATCGTGTTGTTGAAGGAATAAACGGATGAAGCATCAGAGCGTAAGCTGGTGTTCAACGATAAAGCCGGGCGTACGCGGGAGTTGAGAGTACCACTGGAAGGCCCAACATGATTCCCTTGATAGTTACTGTAAGATAATGACTCTGGTCTTGCGCTTGCGGATAAGTGATTGAAACTCGCGGTTTGGGTGCCTGGTAACGGCGGAAAAGAATCCATTGCATACGTCGAACGTTGCACTGTTGGCGCGTAAGCTGCCACCGAAGAAGGGAGATAGCTGATAGTGGTGTTCAGCGTGCATGCAGAAAGGGCAGGAGAAGGGACAGCATTAGTAAAGAGCCCAACCCGGCTGGGGTTATAATCAAGGGGCGGCATAGATGACACTGAGCCCTGCCTTAGCCTCGAAGAGAACTGGTATTCACCTGGATCGCTGATAGTTGTCGAGTGCGGGGAGAAAATGGTCTCAAACTGGCCATGATGATTTGACGTATAGGCCGCTATTGTAGCAGTTGGGGCACATATTGTGGTGTTCGAGTACGCTGAGGGAGCGGGAGAGGCGACAGTGTTGGTGAAGTGGCCGATTTGACTTTCGTTCCAGTCTCTATGGGACATATATGACGACGAGTCTGGCCTACCGGGTAGTTGGTGATACTCGCGCCGCCTGTTGTCTCTGTGGTTCGACCGAGACGACTGGGTCATGGTGTGAGGTTCCTCTGTTCCCATGTGCGTTCTTTCTTCAGGTCTGTCGGTGCTGAGACGATTCCTTAAACGGGTTTTCGTGTCATCCGGCTCGGGTGTTTTGACCGTGATGCCTCTCGGTGTTTCGACTGCCAACCATAAGCGATAACCCCAAACGGAAGATGGCAAGTACCACCGTACCTTTTTGTAACTCTTCATCCTTAAATTCCATAATATTGTGACGGTTCTTGAACCGCGTGAATTTGATCTTTGGTATCATCTCGCCATTCTCGTTAAAAAACACGGTTCTCTTCCCTTGTGTTATTCGCATTTGTTGTATTTTGAGCATCGATATCATTTCACTGGTCTTGTAATTTTTGTCGAACCCCAATGTCTTGAAGTATCGTTTGTATTGTTTATCCCTATGCAGTCAACAGAGGTTAGCTATCGGCCTGACACGGAAAGGGAATGTAACATACGAAGCCGATAAGTGATAATCTCGCTTCATAATGTCAATAACTTGTGGTAGGGTTTTGTTTTCCGCGATGTATAAGCGATAGATAGTGTCCCGGTGTTTGTCCAACTTGGACCGTTTCTCGGAACGGTTTGGCATTGTAGAAATGATCTGAGGGGTGTAACTGTCGCAGAATGGAGAGAGCTTTGGCCAGGGCCAAAAATAGAACAGTAGGCTTCAGAGGCCGTTTTATAGTGAAAGCCTATTGAAGATCTGTGGAACGAATGACGAAGAACAGCAAAGAGGCAGGTAAGTGGTTATATACACGTTACTCCCGTCTGTAAGGAAAAGGCCGAGGACCACTTGGTCCTATGCCGCAGGCAACGAACATAGAAATACTCACCTTGAAGATCAGCGATTGGAGGCACGGGAACAGCATCAGCCCTAGACCGCTAGATGTTCCGGCAGCGCTCCAAGGTCTGGGGTCTTCAAGGAAGTGTGCAGCTGCGGCTACATGATGCTTGGCAGAAAAGAGGACGAGTAGACCAGGTACCATCAGGACCCTGCAATGTCGATGTACGCTGGTACACTGTAGCATCATAAAGGGCCGGGACTTTTGTCTATGAGCTACTTCGGTCAGGCTGGCATTGGATTCAGGATAGATAAGCCATGAAACGTCCAAGACGTAGCAAGGCTGGTTTGAAAGGAGATCCCTCGCAATGGTCGGAAAGGACAGGAACCGGCGTGCTGTGCTACCTCTCCACCAGGCCGGCTGCATCTGCACGTGAAGCAGTTCGTCCTGGTGTTCGGTTGGGGTTGGTCATGTTCCATCCGTGTTAAGTGTAAGTGTGACCGCAGGTGATCTTCTAGACTCGCAGTCTCCAGGAGATTAGCTAAGCTTCAAACCAAGCCCTTAACCCGGTTTAATGGTTCCGAAGACGTTGAAGGCTGTGATGGTGCACTCGGATGCGAAGCCGGTATGAGGCGCACGCATCATTAATACCTTGGGTATGATCTGGATCGCGGGTTGGAAACAGACAATCGGGAACAGGATGTTGGTATAGCACCGGGTATATTGGGATAAAGCTTCCGAAGACCAACATTTGAAAGCCGAGCCGCAGCCAGAAGGTGTGTTGGATTCGCGCGTTGCAACTTGCCGGGGACAAGGCACTCTGCTTCCGTGGATCCCATGGCAAGCTGAGAAGTCGGTTCTTCATGAGGGCAACTAACAGAACCAGGGGGTAAGATTGACTGTATAAGGCTAGGTGCAGCTGTGTGCATGAACTCAAGTGTTGGAATGTTCCCGTAGACTTGGGAAGCACCGCTGAGTGGTGTAACAATCGGAACAAGTGTAAAAAAAAGGCATCCAAGCCATTCCCACCAAGATGGTCGCCTCAATTGCGGGTGCTCTTTCCGGCAGGAAGGTAAGGTAGTCGTGGGCAAGGCGGCATACAGCTGTTGGAAGAACCAGTGCACGTGGAGAAGCAAGCCATCACCATTAATTGTTCCGCGGGAGGTCTCCGGTTGGAGCTGTGAGCCGAATGCTTGTATGTGCCGCGGGAGCTGTCGCTCAAGCGCTGCGGATCTGTTGATGTGCTCCCCGTACCGTGTTTGCTCTGCTCAGCCCTGGATGCCTCGGGACCTTGGGTGTGACATTTTTGCGACTCGAAGAGAGCAAGGCGGGACTTGTATCGTGGCTTGGGAACAACGTAGGACTGGACATAGTTCTGGACATCGCCAAGAAGCGGTGTTTACACCGGTTTCGTCACGAAATCAGCCTTGGTGTTCTCGATGCCCGGCAACGCGGGAAGGAAAGGAGGCAGGCACTTGGCGGTTGAAATATGTTACATCCACGGACGAGCAACAGGTTGACTGGGCAGACTGTGGATAAAATGACAGTTAGCGAAGCGTTCACAGCTATGTGGTTTCTCAACAAAAGTCCCGAACGACTGTATACGTACTTGGATGGCTGTTGGTTCCTTGAGGCGTACCCAGCCGAACTCTCTGGGCTATGGGTTGAGTGGACAATACCCTTCCACCACAATGGGAGCCAAAACGCGGGGCATGAAATCATTGGAGAGTTGTGAAGTCACATCAAACCCATTGACGACGATGATGAGGGGCCACAAGTCGGGGAAGTCTTGACCGCTTTCCCAGGCACTGCCAGGCCCGTTCCTGAGACCCGTGGGGTGGTCACGATGGTGCATCCCCAATGTTGAGGCTGGCCAACTGGCGAATCGTGATGGTGTAACCACTCTTAGCCACTCTGCCGGAAGCAAAAGGACAAGTTCGTGAGTTCGAAGGGCGTACCGCAGCCTACTGAGCCACAATCTACCCAGGAGAGACGCCACTGGCGAGGCAGTAGTGGTGACACGAAGTCAACAGTTGACACCGAGATACCCAAGTCGGAATTCCGGCGTAGAGATACTTGATGAGAAGATACCGAGATGCAGAGACGCCGAAAAGAAGAGATCGGCTAGCAGATACCAACACAAAAGGTGACCCTATCGTCAAGTAGAAGTCGTCATTCGACGACAAGGCTCCTCACCGCATCCTCAGGCCAACAAGGCACGCCCAGTGTCGTACAACCGAGAGAAGTGCAGAATGGGGAGCAAGGCGGTTTTTCATTCGACGAATCTGGAAGATCTGTTCGACCCTTTTGGCCATATGCGGTAAACTCGATGCAGTTGATGGTGTTGAGATGCTGACAGGAGAAAAGAGCGGTGGAAGTCCAGACAAGATGCATGTGGTGAGAGGATGAGATAAAAGAAAAGATTCGTGCAGACGCATCAAGTCACCACACTCCGAAAGAGTTTTCTTCAAGCCCCTCCTCCCATCATCGTGCCTTCCATGGCATTCAGATTGGGCATCACAAGCCGTTGCAGAGCGGTCGCTGTCAAAAGGAAGGAACGAAGTTGAAGTCAGGAGTGGAGGAATGATCGACAAGACCTCAATTGCGTTAACGCTGCACGTCAACTGCGGCACTGGACGCTAACGCTGCACGCAATAACTGAAACAGGTCAGTCGCAGGACACTACAGCCACTAACAGTTGCTGCCTGTCTTGTAGCACGCTCCACTGCATGCCAGGGCAGGAGCCTCCTCCGCCTCTCTTCATGAACTTCACAACAACCTGAACATCGTGAACGGAAAGCGCGACACAACAGCAAAAACTTCACGGAAATTACTTCGCGACAAGACGTGATGGGGAAGGCTTTTCAGACCGCAAGTTCTTCTGAACTACAACGAATGAAAAGGGACCCGTTGTTCAGGGACCAACTTTATATCCACAAGACTGCATCCAACATCTACATCCAATGTTCAACCAAGAAGAAAGAGTCAGCTTCCAGACGGGATCGCGAAGTAAACAGATAGCGAAAGGACGGATATTCCACACCACGACTTTGCCTAAGATGCAACAAATGAGAAGGACTCGAAGTCCAGGGATCAATTTGCGTTATACATACGAAATCGACGCATCCCATGTCTGCAACAGCACGTCCAACCAACAGTCCCGCCTGCATAGATCATCGTGAAAGGAAACGACTCATGGAGTTCACGACGAGTCCGAATATCCAATATACAGGAGCCTGGTGGCCATAGGGAAGACCAAAACGAAGGCAGATGAGGTGGTTTCGCACGCAACGAAGACATCGTATCAAGAAATATCGTGGATGTCCTTGCTCTATTACATGGCCGTCAACGTCTGCTACAATGTCCAGGACCACGAAGAGACCTTGAACTATGTAGAGACGGCGTCCAACGTCTCCAAGATAGCAAATATCACCTTTCACTTTCATAGCAGCATGCACGAAACGAACGAACAGCTCGCCTGCCAACCCAAGACCTTAAGCGTAGACGAAAACCCAATAATACTTCCCATGATAACCCTTTCTCTTCCTAACATACGAGCATACATAATCCAAATCTTATATAGACAGCCAGAGTCGGTCAGAGTTGGAGGCATAGTCAAAAGGTCCAAAACCCAAAGAACGTCGCTGAATGGTATAAAAACTCCCGAGCGCAAAATAAGCAAAGTACAAGAATATAACGAAGGAAACCACGCTGTTAAGGACGAGACAAAGACATCAATTACCCATTAACATTATGCCCTTCAACCTTCCAGTTTCCACTCTCTCCTTATCCTATCCGGGCCCTACATCCACAACCCGCTTACAAGAAGGACATGACTAAAGAAACATCAACCCAACAAACCCCACCACAGCCGCCAACGCGCTCGCCCCCATCTGCACCGACCCCGTGGTCCTCACACCATTATTAGCATTCGACGGGCTCTGCCCGTTCCCGCCCTCCTCACAACTCTGCGAAAACCCGCTTGCGCCACAAACACTCGAGTCACCATTATCCACACTTCCACTTCCACCGTCAG